TTTGATGAGACAATAATAAATACATTTCATAATCATTCATGACGTTCTTTGTTTTTTCAGGAACAACTAAATCTCCCTCTAACGACGGGAATTTTGGTCTCATCAAAATAATACCAAGAATGTCATAAGTATTGTCCTTCAGGGACCTTAATTCATGTCATAAGTATTGTCCTTCAAGAACTTTAATGCATTCAGCGTGCATCATATTAATATTGACATGTTAATGGGTTGTCCTTCTAGGACTTTAATCTATGCAGTGTATTATCAATGTATTCAACTTGCAATCTTCAGAATTTGCACTGTATTTAATCATTTAGAAATAGATACATATCATAATGATTCAAGCCTTTCCTCTAGAATGGTCTTTTATATGTAATCCAAGTCATTCTTCTAGAATGATATTTTGTACATAATGCAAGTCGTTCTTCTGGAACACTTTTTTGTACATAAAACATGTCGTTCTTATGGAATGATTTCTTACATGCCATTCTTCCATAATGGTCTTATCTTCTCATTTTGTGCTTTGAACTACAAATTCAAATTACATATAAAAATAATTAAAATTAAGAACCAATGAACTCGAAAGTTCAAATTAGAATTTGGTTACAATATTTTGATTCCATTGTGGAAAACATGATAAATATATAATTTTTCAAAAAAATTTGATTTTGAACTTCAGGTTTAATTAAAATATCATATATGTTATGCCAGAACTGCAAGTTCTTGGCAATGTATGAACTGCAGGTTCTTGATAAGGTATGAACTTCAGGTTCATATTAATATTAATCTCAATAAAAATGATGAACTTTGGATATATGTTTGCATATATCTGGAATTTCAAGTTTGAATACATATATCAAATTTAAAAAGGATATTTGGTTTTGAACGTTAGGTCCAAATTTGTATTAATATGATATTTTTCAAGGTAATAAAATAAAACGATAATAATAATAATAATAATAATAATAATAATAATAATAATAATAAATTTGAAAATTTGAAATCCAAACAATGTCGAAACTTCAAGTTCTTAACATGATGTACATTTTTCAACCCAAAATCATAATACATATGCACTTGTTGAAATATCAATCACTACAAGAAATAAGGCATTCTGTGACCAACTTTTACGTGACGCTGAAAATTTCGTCACATTTGACTTGTATAAGTGAGAACATTTTGCAAGTCATCACCTAAACTTCTTGAAGGGACGTAACAAAATTTTCGCTCCATGTTCGTCACATTACAATTTCGGTGTCGTCACATATTAAATAGGGGGAAATCTTGGCGCCCAATTTTTTTCCTAAATGTGACGAATAATGCACATTCGTCACAGAGCATGAAAGTGAGGCCCAGAAATTTTATTGGGTGAAGAATGGCAGCGTCACTTATGGCCCAAAAGAAAAAGAAGAACAAAAACAAAGAAGAAACCCAACGCTTCATTCAACCTAATCAAAGCTTCAGTCCCTTCATCATCATCACTAGCTGCTCTCTCATCCACAAACCATCGGCGACGACGACCACTCCTCCTCTCCGGCGACAACGACCATTCCTCCTCTCCGGCAACGACGACCACTCCTCTTCGGCAATGACGACCACTCATCTTCCTCTCTCTCTCTCTCTCTCTCTCTCTCTCTCTCTCTCTCTCTCTCCCCCTTCGGGTGACCCATTGTCACAGATAATTAAGTCCACCTTCCACTTGTAATCTCTCATCCCTTTGACCCCCACTCTAAAAATCCCAAGGGTAAATAGAAATTTCTTCATTGATTGTTAAATTGTTGATTGTTATTTCCCTATTCAATTGTTGATTGTTATTTGATATATTTTTGTTGTCTTTTTCTATATATTTGAGGTAAAATAGAAATTTCTTCTGGGTGTTGAAGTGCTCTTGGTCAATTTTGCTAGTTTTCGTTCTGTTTGAGGTAAGTTTCTTTTACTTTCTGATTTGTGTTGTTTTTATTCATGCTTTACTTTATAATATGAACATGGCCAAATATGAGAAATTGTATTTTGACAATTTGACTAGATGAGAAATTGTAGAATAACTTATTTTGACAATAAGTTTACTCAAAGGATAGAGCATTTGATACAGTTTCAATTTCTAATTTATGTAAATAACTCTACACATGCTCAATAATTGTTGACAATTTTATCAACTTGTAGATTTTGGTTTTTTGTGTGTTCCAAATTACCCTATACCCATTTGTGGAAAGGCTTCTTGGTCCTGTAATGATTGCTCGCCTTGGAGGGGTAATTTTTCAGCTCCTGCTCCCTTTGCATTGTTGTAGCTTCTGCATTTTTTTATCTTCATGATAAATGTCTTTCGACGTAATGCCTACTGACTTATACTGTTTTTTACCTTTGTGGTTCTTTTTTTCCAGCACATGATTCCCATATGCAAATTATCACAATACCTCTGCTGTCAAGTTACCCGTTTATAGCAATGTTATCGGGGTTCTCCATCTACCTGATGTTAAATATTGCATCTGTGCTGAAGAATGTCTTATCTGTAAGTGCAGACATGACTTATCTGTATGCATCCTTGCGTTACAAAGACTTGGTGAATTACTATTCCACCATCATCTTGATACAAATCTGATTAACAACAAAACCAAACTACAACTCTGTCATCTTAACTGAAAAAAATAAAAAGAAAATGACTATACCTACTCCATAGCAGCTCACCAATTTGATTCAATAGGGGACCGATATGAATTGTCCTGATTATATTGTTAGTGACCAATTTCTCATCTTGACAATTGACTGAATGAATTCTACAATTGACTAGGACTTTTGTCATTTGTATTTTGACAATTTGACTCTTCTATGAATCTGGGCAATTTTTTTCGGTACTTAATACTCTTATGTTCAATGACAGTGGTGTAGATTTTGGCTTATATATCCCAAGTATTCAATTTGATATACAATAATGTTGTCATATGTTCAATTGGTTGTTGCCCTGCACTTTGCATTCACCATTTTTTGAATTAATTCTCTGTTTTTCTACTTAGAGAAATTAATAGTCAAGTTTATTAAAGTTCCATTTCAGATGCAATAATTTTGCTCCTTTCTTTCTTTTCTTAATTATAAACTTTCCCATGAAACAAATATATTCAATGTGACATGCACGAGTGGCAGAGTGTACTCTTTACATTATTATTATTCCTTCTCTTCTGTTCCCATGCCATGCTTACACTCTATGTATGTCCAATCCGATACTCATTAATAATATTTCTTCCCAAAAGCAAAAAGCTGGTTGAGTTAAGAACTTAAGAGACAACTTCCCATTGTCTAACATGCATAGGATCAAATTAGATGTACTTAATGAGAATGGTTGAGGCACGCTACTTATGAAATATGATGAATGCATGAAAACTGTAGGTAGGGGAAAGCCATTTGAGAGCCACTCAGACTTGTTTAGTTTTTGTTTCTAGGCTTATCGTTCCACAGTTCGATTTAGTTGTGTAGTTAGAGATCCTTGATTGCTGATTGTGATGATAGCTTAGAGCAGAAGAACTCCGTATAAATCGAGGGCCAAGAATTTACTAAGGAGTCGAACGGTCTTTGTGACACCTTGACCACACTTGATAGGATATGTGGTTTCCTTTTTGAATATTACAAGGCAATTAATGTTTAGTAAACTATGAAATTTTGTGGAATTTTTTCAATCTATTAGAGGTTCATGTTGCCTTTGTATTTCTGCCAAGCACGTAACCGAATCATGGTTGTGCATCGTTTTTTCCTGTTCATTTAATTAATTTGTTGAAGAGCTTGTTACTCTTGCTCTTACATATTTTCAGCTATTCCCTGTATGTGCTTTGTCCATATTTTCTATTGCAGCATAATGCTCATGGAATTCTAAAATTTCCTATAGGTATTTATCAGCTTTAACTTCACAATCTTTCTTGGACATTGGCTCTTTATCAAAGATACTGGACAGCATAATGAAACTTTGCCTTCTGTTCTGCTGGAACATTGAGAACCAAGAAAGCAGTGCAAATACTTCTGAATTGGAACACATTATAGAGGTAAAATTCATTGTTTTGCGAAAATATTCTCTCTTCTTGCAATTATTGACAAGAATAATTTCCACATATTATACTGTAGCAACTGTCCTGGGAATTTACTCCTTTGTTGATGCTAGAGTTGGTTTACCTGTCTAGTTGTCTCTGACAATTGACTTGCCCTGCATAATTCAAAGGTGTAGGTTATGTTGTTTGGCTTTCACAAGACTCCCGTAACTGCTTGCATTATTTAACATGTTATTTGACATATCTAAACTAGGCCCAGTTCCAATTTCAAGAAACATTTACCAATGCTATTATATTTTTTATATATAAAACATTACCATAACATGTTTAAAATAGTCTTAGCTGAAGTTAATTTTAAAGAGATGTTCTTAGTAGGGTGTTTCTTAAATTTATGGTAACCTGAATTCACAATCAAGTCATGAATAGACAATGGATTCTTAGTCAGAATTGACTTGCTTCAGACTATAGACAAGGGATTCAATCATTCATTGATGTTGCTTGTCACCATGTGAATGAGAGGAATGAGATATTATAACAGATTTTTAGTTAAAATTTTAATAATAGATGCCCACGCTTTCTATTTTCTAAACTTGGTTGCAATCAAACACTATAACATAATTTTTTAACATCTATTTGTATTTATGTTTGTATTTACTGCATTTCTGGAATTTTCTTCCTTGTCTAAGATATCTTTGAAATTGGTTTTTCAGATGTAAACTTGAGTCCTAGCCTTGAGATGAACAATTTTGCTTGTGGGAATTAGGTTAGTGCTTAGCATGGTCAATATTGTTTCCCAAGCAAAATTCATTAACATTTAAAAAGAAAGATTTCAGACAAGTCATACAAATTAAGTCTACTACAAAATAAAAACTTAAATGGGGGATTCTAGAGATTAAAATTCATATTATTTTTTCACTTCAATGCAAGTTTGATCCTATACAAGTGCTATTAGATGCTGAGTTTGGAATCATGGGTGAGAAGCTCGGGAGGAGGGGAAGATCAATCCATGGTGTAGGTGTTTTTCCTCGCTTGGAGACCTCTAGCTCATGCACTCCTTCTTCAATGGCTTCAAGTTCTGAGTTGAGTGCAATTTATGATCAGCTCAAGATGCTATCAATTAATTTTGTCACTTTGCGAAAGGAGAATGAAGATTTGAGAGCCCAATTGAGGTCTGTTTTGACTGCATCTCATGGCCAGACCAACACCAACTCTAGAGGTAGTAATGGTGTCCATTCTGATAATGATTATTATTATGAACTAGCAAACCACAATCTTGATGAAAATTGATTTAGCAAACCACAATCTTCCAAACTCTCATTTTGCCTCATCATACAAGTCCAACTGGATATCAGCAGCCATATGATCCTCAAAAGACAACATCCTAATCATGCAATCTTCCAATCCCTTCCTCACTTCATCAGCATTAGAAAAGGTTTCTTCATAACGCAATTGAGGGTACAAATAATAACCAGCAGCATGTAAAGGTTGATGAAGTTGTGGGCCCCATCTTTCGTCTATTCTTCTCTAAATTGGTTTATACTTTCTATCAACTTTTCCACAATTAAAAGCAATCTTCTCTTTTGCAACATCCATTAAATCATAAATAAATCCCATAGCGGGTCTCTCCTCTGAATCAACTTCTCTCAAAACCAATACTAATGGAATAACACTTTTGATGCAAAAAGCAACATGGGACCAAAAATTAACATCATATAGTATAGTTGAGTGAGCCCTAATACCTTCATTATGTTGGACAAATGGTCCATTGTGCCATTCTTTAGAAGAAAACATAGCCTAAAGAGGTTGCTTTTGCTTATAGATTCTTTGAAGAGTAAGATATGAAGTGGCAAACCGTGTGATTGCAAGGTGAATTATCTCTTTGTTTTTCGTGAAATATATCATCAAAGCAAGAACCCAAGTATGCCCATAAATAAACTTCACTACTTGCTTGGCTAGTCTAATTGTATCTTTAAAAACTTTCATTTTGCTAATATCTTCTAACATCAAATCAATGCAGTGGGTAGCACATGGAGTCCACCATAACTTCTTCATCTTCTCCATAAGTTTCACTCCAGCATTCTTATAATTGGAAGCATTATCTGTTATTACTTGAATGACATGCTCCTCCCCAACTTCTTTGACAACATCATCTAAATATTTGAACAATAACGTTCCATTTTTTAAGGAACCAGCTGCATCAATAGAACATAAAGCCACAAACTCACAAACATATATGTTTTCTTCCCAACAATTGCATTGTTGTTGTCACATATGAAGGAAGAGGTAAATTGGCTTTCATCAGACTCAATAAAGACATGACATGGACTTATGTTGATGAAAGCTTGTCCTTTATTCAAGATGTTGTTCATGTTGAAGACAAGTTTTATGTTGTTGAAGAATGGGGTACATTTTTTTTCTTTTGATATTACTAGTCAGTGTATCTCTAATAAACAATTGGTTGCACAGGGCATTGAATCTGATGAGGTATAGAAGACATATCTCGTGGTTTTAAATGATAAAGAATTATTGATGGTTCTAAGATATATTACATTTAAAGATAGATGTCGTGTGACGACAAAAGTTGAAATATTCAAATTGAATTTCAACAAGTATGAGTGGGTTGAGAAAAAAAGCTTAGGAGATGTTGCTCTCTTTTTGGGTGATAATTTTTCAATATCTGTAGTAGCTTCGAATTTTTCAAGATGTCGACCGAATTGCATCTACTTCAACCATGATTATGAACATATAGAAGGAGGTTATGACAAAAAGCCTTTGCGTCGTGATTTTGGTGTTTATGACATTGAACGTCAAAGCTTTTCACAACCTTACACCTCAAATGCCAACGCTCTTATGGAGAAGACCATGCAACCTCTATATTGGGTAGATGTACCAACTTTTCTTTTGTAAGAAAATTTATTGATGCTCTGATGTGTTACGGTTCTATTATTTAGTGACTAATGTAATTGTTATTTTCCCCTCTAATGTTAAGCATGTACACTTGCTCAAATGTAATTGTTGTTATGTTTGTTTGCAACTTACTTTAATGTTTGTGTAATTTTTTATGTGCCACAAAAGAAAATCTAAGGAATTAAATCAATAGCCAAACTTGGCCTGGTCTTCCTACTTTTGACCAAAAAACAAAAGTCAAAATCAAAATCAATAGCCAAACTTGCTCTTGAAATAGTCGTAGGAAAAAAAAAATTGAATTGGAATGTGTTCTTTACTTTATTGACTCTCAAGTTCTGTTGTCCCATAACCACTGGCGGACCCAATACATGCCTATTGTGGGCAGCTGCCCACACTTAGGTAGTTTCGTCACCCATCTAGCCAATAAAAATTAGACACTAGGCTAATATTTTACATGCAAAATCCCCACTCAGCACCCTAAATAAGTAAAGCCTTCAAGGTTTTAGCCCAAACCTCTTTTATATTGAAAATATCAAGGCCCAAGACTTAATAAACATATGGTCCAATATATAAAGTCTTAGATTTTGGCCCAAAGTCATGTATTAAAAATTTATTGAAATAAATTATGTGTTATAATATATATCGTATTGCTATGAAAACCTAGACTTTGTAGGATTCAGCTATGAAATTATTTTTTATGCTCCCAGATGGAAAAAAGTCCGGGTCCACCACTGCCCATAACACTTGGTGAGGTTATTAGTTTAATGATGTAAACAATCTAATTTTTAAGTCTCCAATTTATGTCATGTTACGGAATATTCATCAAACAAAATTAATTTAACCAAGCCAATGGGTCTTTACCACAATAGTAAGGTGGTGGGGAATTTTCAACCCCTAAGACACCATTTAGTAATTTATTATAATTTTCTCTATCCATTTTTTTTAAAGCTTAGTTTAAATCATGGTTAATTTAACCAAATGGAGAACACCCATTAATTCGAAATTGGGTCATTTGAAGGGGTAAATAAAATTGAAGATATATGGTAGTCTTTAGCTTTATGATCCAATCTCAAATCTAAATCAAGCAGTATCAAATTTTTAGCTTTCTGGGAAAAAAAAAATTATCAAATTTTTAGCTCATTATGTTTTACAAAATTGCACATTGGCACTGTGTGTGAGAAGCCCCCATCTCATGTAGTTTATACTTTATACTATCACTTATATTTTTTTCAAAATAAAAATGTATCTTTTTTTAAAAAAGGCTCTTACTTGTGTATTTTATTTCGTCCGACCCAATGTCTACTCACATGTTTGGAATCATGTCGTCCATTGACAGAATCTGGACCAAATGAGATTTAGCAAGCTGAACTGGGCCAGCACTTCCACCTTGATGGATCGAATGGCTCAGGCAAAGTCCCATCTCATTTTCCAATTGTAAGTCACATTCGCCAGGAAAATCTATGGACCCAAATAAACATTGCCAGAAAAATAAAAAAAGTTTCCAAATTGATTTAGGACCGCGCATAATCGAGAACGTCAGAAAATAAAAAAAAATTCAGACGAATACAAAATGAAATTTTCATTCAAGAAGAAACAGATGGCTGTCAATAATATCTTCTCAACTGCTGATGGAGTTTTCACGAAAAAAGATGTTGAAACCCTGCAACACACAACTGCCACAAAATACATACACGAAACCTTAACCCATCAAATTGTGTGTTCCAAAATACATACACGTCGTAGTTACAACCTAATTACAAACAGAATCATTGTCTTATTGATTTTGCTTCTTTTCGTTTTATACCTAAAAATTCTGATTGGTAGATAGTTTATGGTGATCATCTACAGCCACAACCACTGCAAATGCGACAACTCTCCCTTACCCCACCTCAAATTCCCCTTTCAGCACAAGACGATGTCAAGTTTAGAATGACTTGTTTTTTCATGGAGTGTGTGTTTAACTAACTAGTTATCGACTTAATTAATAATAATTAGCTTGAATTAGTCCCATAATGCATATGCAAGATGCTTTAAAAGTCCATATTCAACCTAACACACAAGACTAAATCACAACAACTAGTTAGTGGCTACCCTAGTTGACACAACTAACTGGGTTTTTCTTAACAAATGGTGAAATACGCGATGAAAGTCGTCCATGCACAAATGAGTATGAAGGCAATGTCCACGACTGTCCCGAGCACTCTTCAAAAGAATTGGTATACAGGATTTATTTTAATTAGGAAGTTATACATGTGAAGGTGACTTAGTCGTCACGCATACTAATTCTGTCTGTATTAGCACCAACATTTACAAGAAAGAAGTCCAAAAACCGACAACTAAAGTAGGGGAATCGTAGGGTTGAAAATTAAGGCTAAACAAAAGTGTTTAAAGTTAATAGGAAGTTGACAATATTAATGGGGCTATGAATATAAAATAACATTCAAAACCAAATGGCGTAGGCAGAAAGGAGTTTGCAATTTTTGCATAAAGTGCCAGTGCCTTGTTTTTATCTTCTCATGGATATTCAAAAGTCTCTCTCAAGTGAGCTAAACAATATCTGCTCCACCCAAACCCGTGTTTAAGCCGCGTCTAATAAGATAAAAATTAAGCCTTAAATATTATTTAAGCATAGCATTGTAAATAATATATTTCGTTAATCATATGCCACATAATTTGCGCTATTTTTTATTAAGATATGAAAAAAATCCTAAGAGTCGAATTTTTGTGGTGAGTGTACGGACGAAAAGTATTGTTACATGACGTAGTTATAAGACTCGGCTCAATTAGTAACAAGTTGATGTGCAAATTAAATTATCAGTGGTAATTAACATGACCTAGTGTTTTAACAAACAAAAAAAAATAAAGAAAAAAGTGACCTAGTCAAACTCAATCAACTATTTAATCCAGTTTCTAAAATATTCATTTTATTTTATGAACTTTTCAGACGTAAAAAGTTCAATGTGGAGTTCTCTATCAACAGCAACATGCCAAAAGCTTCTATAATAATCTTTGATCTCAATCAACTCTCACCGGCCTTACAAACTTGCACCGACTTTCAGTCATTTCGGGGCCAAAATATTCTACAAGGAATCAAAGAATAATCTCGTGTTGATTAATCCAAAAAAAACAAAATTCACAAGGAAAACCTTTTGATCGTCTAAAATCCGCCAAAATCAAAAGGAAAAGTTGATGATAAACGACATCATACACAAGTTGGGATGAATTGGCCTTTTGAACCCTTCAAAGTGTGCAAGTGCTGATGCTCGTTCAACTTTGAAAGTTGATGAATGAGTAGTGTAGAATTCTAAAAGGAAAAAAGAAGAAGAAAAAGGAGGCTTTTTCTGCCTTCATTTTTGTTCGTATTTGTCGCACTTGGGCTACGTACACGTATTGACCAAAAGAAAAAAGACTGCGTACACATAAAGAATTTCAAAAATGTTTGAATTTAGCGTTGAATATTCGGCCATAAAATTGACAAAACCTTAGCTAAGCTGGTTGGTCTCCTTCCATATGGAGACTAGGGCAAACTATTATTGGTTGCTGTTTCTTGGTATGTCACAGCTACAAGTAAAACGTCATAACATATTCATTAAATTCGGATCTTACGAATGACATAAGAAGCTCCATAGAGCATAGAGGTTGGTATCTTCAACCAGCTAGCGAGGGACACTTGGATCAATGATGATTTCATGGAAGGGGTCGATATGTGCATAAGCCCAGAAGAAACAAAAATGGAGAGGTGGCAAATTTAAATAACCTGGGTGCTTGATATGAGAACAAGGAAAGAATATACGAATACATATACTAGTAGGATACGTGTAGCTAAAACTTGAATGAATTTTTATCTCTTTTTGTTTATTTTGAACTACGACGGCCATCACCGCAGGCATATTAGTGCTTCATTATCTTGGCATCTTTGGTTGAAGAAGAATACCATTAGATTAAGAGTAATAATAGTGTAATTTGGTAGTACAGTCATATGATCCTAGTTAGATTAACTGGTAGTCCTAATTTGAAGCTTATCCTTTCATGTAATTTTACTATAAAATGAAATCGAGTTTTTTATTTTAATGTTTAGTAGGCCTCACACCTTGTTAAGTAGCAATAATTCGCTCTTTTTAAAGTAAAGATAGACACGGGAGATAGGAAAAGGTAAAGATGTGATAGAATATACAAAGCAAAAAAAAACCTAATTATTGGAATCAATTTTCTAGAAGGTGAGAACAAATTGTTATAATCCGTTTTCTTTTGTGGGGATTAGCATAAAAAATCAAATTTAAATTGGCCATTTGGTAGACCAACAATTATTATTACAAAACCGAATCAGAATATGATTTTCCACACACTCTGAGTTGGAAACTTCATAAATCTGTGAGTTGAGAAAAATAATTATACCATATATGCTGAGAATATGATTGGATTATTGGTACTATATGGTAAAGAAATATTATAATTATTAGAGAGATTCAAAATTAAAATAAAAAAAGTATTGCATTTAATCTAATAAAGAAAGGCCCATAAAACACATCATCAATGGGCTGGACAGCAGCTAGCAAATGAAGGACAATTTGAAATCTCTCATTAATTTTTTTTATATTAATATTTTCAATCCAAACACAGCTTTAGCCTTTACTTTCGCTTAATTTGCTTGCTCTCTCTCTCTCTCTCTCTCTCTCACACTTCGCCTTTGACCCATCGAAACTTGCCGGCAGGTAGCCGTCTTCCAATTAAATACTCAACCTTCAAATTTCAATCCCTTCCCCATTTAACAGTCCTCATCTTCTCTCATCTGTATATAAATTTCCCTTTTTTTTTCCTTTTTTTTCTCCATATTTCCATTTACTCATCTTCTTCGTCCGAACCCAAGTGTATTCGTAACTCTCTCTGTACCCACCATGATTTTCCCTTCAAAAAGAAGGAAAAGACTTATGAAAATTCCCTTTTCACCACGAAAAGCTCTGCTATAGATCACCAAATTTCCCAACTTTTTGGTTTTGGGAACTGGGTTTTTGCCCCAAAATTTCAAAAGAAGAAAAAGAATGATTCTTTCCAACCCATTCTTTCTTGTACTTGTAACCGTCTGTATATTTGTAGCAATCCGTGTGGCTCTGTACAAAACTGGGTTGGTTTTTCTTGTGAAGAAATGGTGGAGGCGATTCGAAGACTGCTTCCATGTCTACCAATCTTTCAAAGTCCCAGAATTCAACGAAAGCATGCAGGAAAATCACCTCTATGGCAGAGTCACCGACTATCTCAACTCTCTCACCTCCATTGAAGAATCGGATTTCACCAATCTCGTCACGGGCAAAAAACCCAATGAAATTGTACTCAAGCTCGACCGAAACCAGACCATCGAAGACGATTTCCTCGGCGCCAAGGTGCTATGGGAAACAGGGGCCAGTACAGACAGTACGAGCAGAAGCTTAGTGTTGAGGATTCGAAAAGCCGATAAGCGTCGGATTCTCAGGCCTTATTTGCAGCACATCCATGTCGTCGCCGATGAGCTGGAGCAGAAAAAACGGGACTTGAGGCTTTTCATGAACGTTGAAGCACCCAATCGAGCATGGAGAGCCGTCCCGTTCACGCACCCATCGACCTTGGAGACCATAACCATGGAAGCCGATCTCAAATCCAAGGTAAAATCCGATTTGGAGTCGTTTCTCAAGGCCAGGCAGTATTACCACAGACTGGGTCGGGTTTGGAAACGGAGCTTTTTGCTATACGGCCCATCGGGCACTGGAAAATCAAGCTTTGTGGCCGCCATGGCCAATTTCCTCAACTACGATGTGTACGATCTCGATCTGTCGAGAGTCAAAGACGATTCAGAGCTGAAGACGCTTCTGTTGCAGACGACGACCAAGTCGGTAATTGTGATAGAGGATTTGGACCGATATCTCTCCGAGAAATCGACGGGTTTGAGCTTTTCGGGGATATCGAATTTCATGGACGGGTTGTTGAACTCGTGCTGCGCGGAGGAGCGGGTCATGGTGTTCACGATGAACTCGAAGGACCACGTTGACCCGGCCTTTCTGCGGCCGGGTCGGATCGACGTCCATATCCATTTTCCGCTCTGCGATTTCGGAGCCTTCAAAAATCTAGCGACGAGTTATTTGGGGGTGAAAGAGCACAAGCTTTTTTCTCAGGTGGAGGAGATTTTTCTGAATGGGTCAAGTTTGAGCCCGGCCGAGATCGGCGAGTTAATGATCGCGAACCGGAACTCGCCGAGTCGGGCCATTAAATCGGTCATCACGGCTCTGCAAACGGACGGCGATGGGAGGGGGATCGCCATGTTCGGGCGGCGGGTGGGGTTTGATGTCGGGTCGAGAAAGTCCGGGGACGAAATGGTTGAACCCGGCGGGGTGTTTTGCGGGGAAGGCGCTCATACCGTTAGGGACTTTAGGAAGTTGTATGGGTTCTTGAGGATGAAGAGCAACAGGAGCTCGCATTCTCAGTCGTTCGATGCTGGCTCGGCGAACAGGGATGGCTGATCGGACGGCTTGGAAATGGCGATGGTTTGAAGGGGCATGTTCGATGCAACGTGTCGAGTTGTAATTGGGGGGACATTGCCCTTGGGTCTCTGGAAGAACAGAGAATCAATATAGAGGGAAATGCAGCAGAATACAGCTTAATTTAATTAGAACCAAAAACCAACAATTTGTTTTGATATTTGTTTGATATTTGGATATTTGGTAGTTGGGATTGGATGCTTTGTGGATAGATTAATTGACACAATTGGGAATGTGATTCTGTCTTTCTCCTCTTCTTCTTCCCTTTGTTGGAATGCACTGCCTTTTGTTGATACACTGAGCATGTAAATGACAATTGTTTTAATTTTCTGAAAAAAAAATTAGCTATTCATAAATTACAGAAAGGGAAATGGAATTTAGTAATTACATGAATTCAGGAATATGGATAGTTCTTCTTAACCACTTACTTGAATTACAAGTCCGCATTGTACGATTGTTAAATTCATTGTATACCAGACATTACGGTTAGTTTAGTCCTATCATGTCGAGTTTCAAACAACAAAAGGCCAATTTGGAGTCCCATCTAAAGAAGTTTTATTACCATACAAGCGTACACCAACCAAGATGCAAAATTAGTAATGTATCACACCAAAAAATCAGCAATCAAATTATGCTTAACAAAGTCAATGTATTCACAAATGGATGCTCTGTTTATTTTTTAACCTTAAATCTTATATGACAAATGGCAATTACTATAATATTTACAAATTAGTAATACAATACAGAAGAATCAAAGAAAAATAGATTAAGCTACTGCAAGTCAGCAAACAAACAATGTCTGAGTGATGTCACTGCATTTGACTGTTTTGTGCAAAATGATATTCCTTTTTCCTTGTTGCTAATTTTAAAGGTTGTTTTTTTCTGCTCTCATCATTGGTCATGATGGTATATGATCCTGCTTCCTTTTCAAGTCATTTTCGTCTTTAATCGCAGAATCAGCCAAATTTTTGAAAGCAAAAAAATTGAAATCAGAATTAACATATGATATTTATTTATATGACAATAATAAGAAAAGGAAATGGATTGGTTCATCGTCTTCATTTGTTTCCTCAAACAATGGTAAGTTAATACTCGTTTGCTAGTCAATTCTCAAAATGATTCTCCAAATCATTGAGAAGTGGTTGTGGGAGATTCAAGCCTCTTTTTTTTTCTTTTCTTCTTCTTCTTTTATATAAAATAGGGATTGTATATATGACCGGACCCTCTCAACAAGAACACGTGGAACAAATGGCCCGCGTGACCCAGCTCAATCACTAGAACTCACAATGACCATCGGCAAGGGATAGCCCCAGGCAACTTCACCTATCGATCAGGCTCAACAAAGGCACCGGCCGTGCTACTTTCATGTAAGGACACGTGACAGCCCCTCGAACAATGTCCACAAGTCCCACATCGAAAGTATAACTCATGGTGCTCCAACTCTCTCCTCTATAAATTGAGCTCTTACCCCAAAGTACCAGGTAGCAGTAACTTGGCACTAGTACTCTTACGTTGTCTAATTATTTATTCACTCCATCCTTCAGCTAACTTAAGTATCGGAGAGTCTTCGGCCGATACCACATCGGTGCCTATAGCCTTACCGTTGCTCTATCTCTCTTTACAAATCCACCGACTGAAGGTGGATCACTTCGAAGTTGGTTCCATATTTGAACATCAACATAAGTCGTTTTCATTTTGCTATTTCATTTTAGATATGTGAAAGGACTATATTCATACTTCTTGCAAATCACAGTTTGACCTATATGCAAAAATAATTCATGAAAACCACAAAAAGAAAAATCTCACACACATGTCAAAATGTAATTGACAGGCACACACATGTCAAAATGTAATTGACAGGAAAATAGGAGTTCCTACTTCTAGAAAAGGAAGCAAGTATTTTCCTTTTAAAATTATGTATGAAATTGTGATCGTTACCATTTACCTAACATACTACATATACACTATATATATGACAAAAGATTAGTCATCTCCTTACGTAGTTTAATGTGCTTCACACCAGTCATGACTTTTTTTTTATTTTCTTGAGAAGCTGATTTATGCGATGCCTCCAAAAGCAAAAGTCCTGTTATGAACTTGTATGAAAGTTGGCCAAATCGTCCTTGACCAACAATTTAAGCAACTTTCTAAATTATGATAAATAAATAAATAAATAGGATGTTAACCCTACAAAAATAAATAGGATGATGAAAAAGCAAAATAGAAAGACATCTTCTTTCTTTTTTATAATCAAATTAAAAAGACAATTTTTGGTAATATGATACTTTACAAGAATTAACTTCGGAGCTCGATCATCTCCATTCATGTATATATGTCTGACTATAATTTGCACCAACAATACAAAATTTATTTGCAAAATGTTGTTTCATGATTGATTTTTTATTTATTAAATTTATACATATACATTTTATGTTGATTTTACTCACTTTTCGACCTCCTCATCATTATATGACAAGAATCCGGCAAATATATATATATATATATATATATATATATGTATATTGCAATTATAAGGGGTATCAGTTCAGGTATGTTCTGAGACATGCCAGCTTTATCTCATCAATTAAAAGTTCAATGCCTCGATGTTATGCCTGATAAGGACGCGGACCAAATTGCTCCAGACAGCATGATCAAGCCTACTCCTTTTGCCACCCTATACATGTCCCACAACAACCAATTCAAGGAATTTTTTTAGGCTTAATCGTAGCAAACTATACCTGTAGTTATATTTTCATTCCTCAACTTCAAAAACAGTTGTATAGGTCCCCAATTATGCATCTCCAATTATGTATTGTATTAGTTCTTTCGTTAAATTTTGTTAAATTTTCTGTAAAAAATAAAGGTAAATTCAGAAATTCATCCACAACCCTCCCCTTCCTTCATTGCCTCAACCCACACCTTCTTCCTCCTCCAATTCCTCCCAACCCCAATCCCTCTCTCTGTCACGCTTGGCACCCATCCCAGCCCGTATTCCTCAAAATACTCCAGCCCCAATTCTCGCCATAACCCTCCCCCACCCTTCTTATCCCACAAAATCTTAAAAAACCTATAATTTAAAATCAAACAAAGTTTTAAAAAATGGAGATCTCCAATGAGCTCACATGAGAAGGCATGAAGTGCTCTCTCTCTCTCTCTCTCTCTCTCTCTCTCTGGGTAATTACTATGATTTTACATTTATGGATGTTTATGGTTGATGGTTTACAGTGCTAGGTTGGGGTGGGAGGAAGGATTGGGTGGCGAGTTTGGTACAAAGGAGGAGAAGCAATTGAATTGTCTTTCTTTTTTCCTTTTTCTTTATTTTAGTTTTAGTTTTATTTTATTTTGTTTGTATAAATATTTGAAATGAATTTCCAAATTTACCCATGTATTTAACGGAAAAATAGACATACTTAATAGAAAGGATCAGTAGTGCAACAAAATACATAATTGAGAGACCTCTACAACTATTTTTGGAGTTGAGGGATAAAAATGTAACTACGGGTATAGTTCAGGACCATTACTACAATTAAGCCATTTTTTTTATAAATATTATTAAGATATGGTAATAGAAAAAGGTTTATGTGTAACTCAAATGATTAAGAGTGTTTATCAAATTCCACTATTTCAATACTACTTGTATTTAAAAGAAGTGTGATAATTTCTCTAAGTGAAAATTATTTGAATATATAATTCACATTCTAAAAATATCATCATATACTCCTTATAATTCACGGGCACAATTTTAAGGTGGTAAATTGTAAAATTATTGTTAGCTTCAAATAAATCAAACATCACCATGCCTTTTAGCCATAAATCATCGATGATAACAAATAATCATGCCACATTAGTTCATGAAAACATACATTTTCCAGTGAGATGTCATACCAATTAAAGCTTCTAAGTAAATGAATAAGTTACATGAACTTGATGTTAAACTTTACACCAAAAGGTAATGCATCATTATTGCTAAAGCCTAAGTGGTTGGGATATAATGAGTGCTTAAGCTAAGCAAGGGTTATATCATAAATGTTATGCAAGATACTTCAAAAGGAAAATGATTTCCTTCCAATTTTATAACCTTGTTTTATATGATATGTTGTTCTGCTTTTGAGTTTGCTACCCATAACCTAACTCATGATTGTGTTTGATGCTCTTTTGGAGATTGATAGATGGGCTAGCTCAACAAACTTCTTCAACTTTGCCAGCAAAAAAATAGAAAGAGAAAGAAAGGAAATTTGATAGAAAATGATGTTTTTGGGTGATGCTTGTAGATTTTTCTGTACCTACACTACCTTGGTGAATACAAATCCCTAATTTGTTGCCCAAAAAGACAAAAGGAGACGAAAAAGAAAGAAGATGTCGGGGCACTATTGTTTTCAAGCTGTGTAAATTAGGTTGTTTTAGCCTCTTTGGTGGGTAATTTGTTGCTTGACAGGCTCAGGTGAGGTAGATTGACACCCTTTAAACGGCACGTAATAGTGTTGGGTCGGAGAAAAATTTGTCAAAAAGTGATTCCCACTAAGTAAATAAATTTAGTGCTTGAGTGACATGTATGATTCATTGAAATATATTGCATATTACAAGTTTATTTATTTATTCGTTGCTTTTGGGAAGGCAAAATCTCAAACTTATGGAGTTTGTATTTTCTTAAGTAAATGCCATGCAAACCCCAAACATGGAAAAATACCATTCAGCATTCGTGCAATGCAGTCCAACTCTTATTTTCCATCAAACAGAAGGACGACTTGTCGTTTTACACACTTTGAGCCACTTCAAAACGCATCGTTTCATTGCTCCTCCAACCTTCTATAAAAAGTGAGTTACTTGACCAGGGCCCAGCTTTTGATAAGAAAGAAAGGAAGGCCCAATAGTTCGGGCCCTGCCACCCAATGCCAAGGTCCACATTTGACAGTTCACCTACAAAACATCTCCTTTGTACTGAGGTGGGTCGCCCGACCCAACCAATCAAGTACCGTACGGATCTTTTGTTGGCATATTATGCAAAATGCCGTGCAGTGTATACTAAATTAAATACGTATCTCTGCCATATGCAACAAGTGTTCATTTGTTAAGCTCTTAATTGAAATTCAAATGGAAGAAGCTTGTAACTTAAGTGATTAAGAATAATTATTCATGCACTTGAGATTTTTGTGTTTGAGTCCCCCTCTCTCAATATCGCTTGTGTATATAAAGAAAAATTAAATTCAAAGACCAATCATGATAATTACAATCATATTACAATAAAAAAGACTTATAAATCCAGTGATAAATTACTTGCCCACATTCCGCAAATCGGAATGAGAATTTGACACTTACTTTTTCCCTTCCAAGGCCTTTAGCCTCTTTTTTACTTGTTACCCAAAACCAAACAAATTCAAAAAAGAAAGAAAAGAAAACATAAATGGCTCATCCTTGATGTGGCAGTAAACAAGTTGAAAAATTATACCACTGGCCCCCTCACCTAATACAATTAAATCAACAAGAGCAAGCAGACAATTTCTTCATCTCACTAATTTCCAACTCAGACCCAGAAATAACATCAATTTTAGCTCCTTTAAGATCAACCCCATTGGATTTGTTTCCATTGCCACATTCCAATGCCTTCTTAGACACCACCCCATATATCTTCTCTAGGACACTAAAGAATGCAGTGTCCACATTTTCACCACTGAAGGCTGATGTCTCAGAGAAGAACAGCCCTTGATCCTCAGCAAACTCAACTGCATCTTCTGTGGGCACATCTCTCTGCTCCCCAAGATCAGCTTTGTTCCCAACCAGCATGATCACGATCGAATTGTCGGCGTGAGCCCGGAGTTCCTCCACCCACCTAGCAACATGATCAAAGGTCTGCCTCTTGGTAATGTCATACACCAGCATTGCCCCTAATGCACCTCTATAGTATGCACTTGTTACTGCTCTATACCTACAACGACCACCAACAAACATGCTTTTCTTTAAGTATATTCGTCTTTAAATTTTCTCAATTCTTGTCCAAATCTAATTAATAAGATGAACCTACACTTTGTCCCACAGATTTAATTTTGAGATTGGTTCTATAGCAGCAAGTTTTGAATGCACTTGTGCAGTACATTTAATGTTGTTGCTGAAATTGCTAATATGCACAGAGAGAGAGAGAGAGAGAGAGAGAGAGAGAGAGAGGGAGCTCACTACATAACAACAGTACCAGCATAAAATCAGTTTGTTTAACATTTATACAGATCCCTGTGCACTTTCATGTCTGTCATCTAGAGAAAAGTAGAAAGAAAAAAGAAGAAGAAGCCTGTATGTCTGTAAGTATGGGCTCATACTAATTAACTTATTTTTGTCATGTTGCAAAACTACATTGAGAGCTAAAGCACAAAAGCTGGGGAGCTGGTCTTATCTTCATTTGGCACAGTGCCACTAGCTAGACCTAGATCCCAAATCCACCAATAGGGAAGGCTCCTTTTTAATTTATTTATTGCACATTTTGATCAGAAACAAATGTCTAATCATATATTCATAATTCATGTTTCATATACCCTATACAGAGCACAAGTTTTAAACCGAAAATTATTATATTAATATGCTTGAACAGTTACATCTGCTTCCATAGTAATGTGGCTTATGGATTAGATAGTAATGTTCTCTTCACATACTTACTTAAATTGCGGGACAAATGATTGTGAATTTGAACGACACATTCTGAATAAAATTAAAATAGTTCGGATTCACAGACTAACAACGCAATCATTTTATATTGTCAGATAGTCTGGGAAGGCAACATTCTCCATGCATTACATACAATAGTGCTTAAGCTTCAATCACCATTCAAATTCAAGTAAAAAAAGTTGAGAGAGAGCTAGAGATTTATAAAACCTTTCTTGGCCAGCAGTATCCCAGATCTGGGCTTTGATGAGTTTGCCTTTAATGGTGACAGTCCTAGTCTGGAACTCAACCCCAATAGTGGACTTGGAGTCAAAGCAGAACTCATTCTTAGTAAACCTGGACAGAATCTGAGTCTTCCCAACTGCTGAGTCTCCAATAACCACCACCTTGAACACATAGTCTATCTTTTCTTGCCCATTAATCTCCTGAGCTACCCTCTGAACCTGATCAGCCTCAACCCCATTCATTTCTTGGTTCATTTTCTCAGCACAACTTAACAATCAATGATCAAAAAGATGATATATAGTGCTCTTTCTCTCTCTCTCTCTGTTTTTCTTTTGAAATTGGACTTGGAAGACTTAGTCTTTTATTTAGTCTAGGATGTCAGTGGGAGCAAGTAAAACAACAGGAAAAAGATTGAGAAAAAGAGGAGAAGACAAGACAGGGTTGTCAATAACAGGTGGAGGGAGAGAGAGAGAGCTAGAAATGAAAATAATGGCTGTCCCTCTCTCTCTCTCTTTTAAATGCTTTAAGCATAGTGCATTATTAAATCATATAGTATATTGTACTGTGCATAATTTGGGTTAACTCTGTCAGTCAAAAGCTGTACAAGTTTTGTTTAATGATTCTGAAATTGGGGTTTGGGAGTTATTAATTAAAGTAATCCAATTAAATTAAGCAGCATATTTTACTTACAAATGAGTCAATTGGGGTTTTCATAAAAGTTGATTTCATCATTACAATACAAGAAAAAATGGATTGGTCTTTGATAATAAACTCACTCATTTGAAGCCAGTCTGAGTGCCTAATGGGTTGGTCTTGTTCATGAACCAGCTCATTTGAAGCCCTTCAAAAATACTTTCTCATCATAAAATCCGATATGACATGTTACATTATGTATATTCCTCTTATCTTCTCAAAAGGGTAGTTGGGTAGCTTGACATGCAGTTGTAGGTTTGTCTCTTAAAATCAACGCTATACATAATAAAAGTACACAGGTAGCTGTGTTTATTAAATTTATTTGGTTAAGGTCTGTCTCTGCCAAATAATTTAGAGCCAAGATCTTACTTAAAGAATTCTTCAAATAAGTTTATTTGAGAATATCTTCGTAGAGTCCATCCGCATTTTACTTCAATAATCCAACCACCTCTTACCTTATTGAATTTGATCACGAAAAGAAACTCTTTCTACCAAGAAGACTTGAACTCATCACATCTTTACAACAATGTACTTTCATAATAACACTGAAATTCCAACATGTGGAACTTCTTTATGCTTTTCTCTGCCTGCAGAACAATACAACCTTTGTGATGTTTGCACCGACAAAATGTTTGGTGCAGTGACATTCGTAAGAAATATGAATGATGATGAAGGGCAATTTTTAGAGGAATATAAAGCAGGGGCGACCCTAGGGTGGTGCAAGTAGCGCCACCGCATAGGCCCCTGATTCTTGAGGGCCTCTGAATTTTTTTTTAATACTATATATATACACATTAATTTATAAAAATTGTATATATACTATAGGGTGCTAAATATTTCCACAAAAGTGTCTGTAGTGGAGTTGGCTTTCCGGCGCGTCTCCACTTAACAAAGGTGCCCAATAATAAAAAACAAAAATAAAAACTTAATAGCTTCTTCTTTTTCTTGAACTCTGATTTTGTGGTAAGTAATCATCATCATTCATCAATCTCTCTTTGATTTCAATTAAAAGTGAACTTTTGGAAAAACTTTATTATGAACATTTGATTGATGATTTCTCTTCTAAAAATTCAACAAGATCAATTTTCAGACATTAGTATTGTACTAGCTGTGTTTTTTTTCTTTTGGGGAAAAAGCTCTCATAATAGTTTTAATTCTTCAAATAAAGACATCAAATACAACGTGAATGATTTTTGGATAGTCGGGAATGTTTTTGTTGTTGGTTTTGTGTTTAATGCAATATAATCTAATTTGTTGATGACAATTGTGTGTAACTACTCATTAATTTGTTATTGCCATTATTTTTTTTTTCTATTAAACACATATTGCTTATTGGAGGTAGTAAATGACTTTATAGGGGCACACAGAGCTTATTTTGTACTAAACATACTAATATTTAACTTTATCAAATGGAAACATTTAAATTTTTATGAATTTGATTTCTGATTGTCATTACATGTTTATTGATAGTGACTTTTAGTTATAAAAAAATTGTTTATGACATTAAGTTATAGCAAATTTTTATTTATAGTAATTTCTTATTAGATTATGTGAGGCCCCAATTTAAGTTTTGCACATGGCCCTCAAAATCTCAGGGACGATCCTAATATAAAGTTTTGAGTAGGGTGTTGGGACATACCCTTTTGGAATTCTTTAGTATCTATAAATAGAGTAGTCCTCCTGCAATTAAAATTTTGAATTGATTCAGTTAATGTTTAGCCATTTGAATACGAAGAGTCTTAGTATAGTCACTGATTATGGTATGTGAGAGAGTTTCCTACATAATTTGGTTCAAAGAGTCCTTATAAATTGTAGTGCTTCTTTCACAAAGACATGAGTCGTTGTATCCTAGGAGGCGAGCGCCAGTAACCATAAGTACCTGTGTGGGGCATAATTCGTTTTAAAGTTAGAGTGTTTAACACCAGCCTCGACTCAATTATTCAAATTCTTCTAATCCATATTATGTGATTTTTTTTTCCATATTATATGAGCATGCATTAATTTTTAAGTTTGAATTTAATGATTATTTCTGAATTTATGTATGATTAAAATATAGCAATTAGACCCTTTTTTATTCAACAGAGGGGACACCAACCAATGCTTATAGTTATTGCTACATACATGAGCATTGCTTTAATATTATGTTTGGGAAGGCCTCTACCTACAAGTTAACAATGTGGAACTTGTTTGTATGGCATTGATCCATCAAGGATATGGCCAAATCCACGATCGAAATAGCGGATTGAAAACTGAGTGATTGAAGAATGGATCCACATTTTCATAGATTGACTAAAACAAGAAAAATTCACGTATAATAGTAAGATTTATGTGCTTCACTTTTAACTATAATTGAGTACGTACTTCTCAAACGATCTTTTAATGTCAAAAAATATATATTTTGGGATAATTTCGCTACCACTCAAGGGATTAGCGGCAGTTTTCCTACTTTTCTCCTCACCATGCTAAATTAGCATAGCATCCACCATTTTTCCAGCACATTTTGCAAAATATTACTTACAAGTTTACCCAAATATGAAATTACACGTAAGAAAAACTGTTCCACGAGCACCGATGTACCACTTGATTTATGGGCTGGAATGGGCTGGGTTTAATGGTATTACTTAATGGCCTATTTGTGAGTGGCCCCTCACAGCTTACCAACTGCCAAAGTTTTACTCTGCGGCTTGCAAGCCTGCAACGTTCAAGTCAATTTGAATCACAAATAATAATTCGGAGAAATTGCTTTCAGGGCAATTCATCTCCATTTGTTGACATTTAGCGGCTGACCTGAAAGCCTGAAACTTATCCTCTTCCTCTCTCCTCCATGGATACCCTTTCAAGCTCTGTCTCAACCCTCAAAGTCCCTACCCTTCTTTCATCAACATCATCTCGTGAGCTCCATCAATTCAATCCTCAAAGTCCCAGAACACACAAACTTCCTCCACAATCCCACCTTCACTCCACCATCAAACCCAACTTAATCTCCAACAAAACCCCCTCTTTCTCTCACAAGCTTGTCTCTTTATCTTCAACCCCCTCATTCTTGAACTCCTCTGCAACCCTCTCTCTCAATTCTTCATCATCCTCTGATCTCCATAGAAAACCAGCAACTGGGTATGCCGCTGCTCTGCTAGACATAGCTCAATGCAACAGTTCTGTTCATTTGGTTGAGAAGGACATTCAGAGGTTCTTGAAATTGCTCCACAATAAGCAAGTCCAAGCTGCCTTGGCCAACCCTTTTGTGGGTGAGAAAGAAAAGGGCCAAGTAGTGAACTTGGTGGCTGAGAAAGGGAGATTCAATAGGCATTTGGTGGGTTTGGTGAAGATGCTGGTTAGGAAAAATAAGGTGGGGATTGTGAAAGAAGTGTTGGAGGAGTTCCAGAGGATTTACAATGAGTTGTCTGGGACTGCTAAGAAGGTAAAGAATTTGGTTCATGAAAGCTTACTTTCATTTGCTGTGTGATGCCATAGGCAATCCAAAGAATGTAAAGATTGCAACTTTACAGTCTATGACCAATGCAAAAACCAGTTGTGCTGTATGAATGCATAATATGGCTGTCCAACATTCAAATTGGATATCCAAATAAGTTTGTAAGCTCATCAAAGCTCATATTTTTCATAATGTTCTGGATATTCTTGGTGATGATCACTGTCAGTTTCCCACAATTGCAGAAATGCCCAAATTTTTTTCAATACTAGAATGGATCATTTGGGGCAGGAGGAGAACAACATTTTACTTGTTGGTCGTTTTTGAACACATCATATAATGCTTCACCAATTCAGTGAAATTTGTTAATCCTCCCGGAAAGAACATGATAATGGATAGTGTTGGTATAAAATTTTAGATTTGTTGAAAGAGAGACAATGATCATACCAAGTACCTAAAAGAAAAAATTAGGATGAGTAAATTTTCTGTAATCTGTTGCACATTACAAATTTTACTCTTTATTTTGTAAATCCATTTGAATTCTTCTCTTTAGCTTTGAATTCTTCATCCATGGACCTTTCTTTGCTTTCCACCATATGCTGCTTCTTGAAAATGTCAAAGGTTCGTGACCAGCATTCAGCTGGGTGTAGAATATGATGGTGGGTGGAGATAATCATGATAGTCCTGGGGATTCGTCAGTGCATTATAATGCAGCAAAAAGTTGATGTACTTTCTTCATTGTATTTTACTGCACTTCAGTAAATCATATATACGATTAGTGGGGGCAAATAATGTCTTAAAAGCGACTCAGCACAATGTGCCTTAAAACATACCAATGGTAATTTTGTATTAATGCACAAAAGAATTCAGTTCATGAGAGAGCTTATTTCTTTTTGCTGCATGAAACCCCGTTATTTTGTACAACCGTTGAAGTATCACCACGCCACAAATTTGTATGTGAAATGACAATAAGTGAGAACAGATTTCTAGTTTAAAGGATTAAAAAAGTGAAAATAGATGTGGATTCTCTCCGAATCGTTTCAGCTTTTTCGATGAATTAGGTCACATGGGAAGTTTTACTCATGTCTGTCATATTGTTATTGAGATGACTCCTTTAATACTATTACTTTTATTAATCTAATAAAATTTTATCGCCTGATGTGGATAAAATAATAAGAAAGTTAAGAAACAAATCATTAAATAGAAATTCAGTTTTTAATGAAAAAGATGAAGGCAAACGTTTAAAATTATTCGAAAAGTATATGGCAGCTTAACCCTGGGGTGGGGACGACATATGAATTGAATGAATCGAATGGGAAAAAACAAATGCAATGGACAGCAAGTGCGTTTTAAAGTTCAAAAGATTTTTTTTATATCTTTCTGTGGAAAAAGGAAAAACGTGATTGACCAGTGAGATGGCAACGGGCCCTCTTTTTTTTTGTTGGTCGAAAACGTGTTTAAGAATTTCTTCATACTTTTCAAAGACGGACGGCAGTGGCATGGTGATGATTTTTCCAGAGGCTGGATAAGCTGCCAGCTATTTTTGTTTTACCTCTGGAACAAAGTTGGGTAATTTTTTATTTTTTTTGGGTCTCATCTGATCTTCAAGTTTGATATAGTATTTCAGTCAACGGTCACATGAGCAAAGACCCAGAAAGAGAATTTCTCCATTTTACTTCTGTGAAAATTTTACTCAGAAATATCCTTCAAGGAAAAGGTCAATACTTGGGACTTGGAGGAGAGAGTCTCCACTTGGAGGAGAGAGTCTCCACTTGGAGGCAACAAACTTAAAGACAATTTATTTTTCAGATTGCAACTTTCCTAAATTACCCAAATACAGAAAAGAAGAGAAAAAAGAGAAAAGGTATTTCTTTTAGTCCTAGTTTTCAAATTTCTTTTCCATTTTTGAAAGGCCTCTGTGGTGAGTTGATTGATAATTTTCCCGGGAAATTTGGGTGCATTTTCTGCAGAAATTGTGTGGAAAAGATTGATGGTGCTGTGAATTTTGATGGGCATAAACTCTTTCCCAGGTCTGTCTCTTAAACTTTTTCTTTTTGAATCAGTGAAGACTTTGTTGTTGACTAAAAGGGTCTTGGCCTTCTGCTTTATTGTATGCTTGCTGTTTAATGGGGTCCTTCTGAATTGCAATTTGAGCCTAAATTTGAAGAAATAAGCTGGAAATTGAAGCATTATTGATTTCAGTATATTGAATTAGGACTAGAACTTACTAGTATTTGTTTTAAGTGCATGATATTTGTTGGCTTCGCTGCTCGTTTCTTCTGGGAATTTAGTGCATTCAAGTTCTCTGACCAGAAAAAGAAAAAAAAACAGTGGCTTTCTAGAATGGTTATGTTTGTTAACTCTGTTTGGTTGCTGAGAGAAAGTAGCAAAGAATGAATGGGTTTTTTTGGGTACAAAATTTCTTTATTTTTTTAATGAAGCAAGGGAATTAGACTGAGTAGACTTATTGCCAGTACAAACTTATAGCTGAGCTTAATTTCAGTCTTTCCTTTGTTGATAAACAAAACAAAACGATTTTCCCTTTGATGGCAGAGGAAACTGAAGGTTAGAGAAGAAAATGACAGGTTCAGTGTTACTCATGTCTTTTGGTTTCTGTACAATAGTGGAGACTAATGGTTGGATTAGGGACATTGAGCGGAACTCTCCATATCTCAAAATTACGAAAGAATACAAGACTTAATTGTTAATTCTCAGCAACCAAACCGAGAATTTGTATGTGACTTTTAATTTTGTGTGATTTTCATTTCTGCCTGGTGCTCCACGACTGAATGGGGAGTTGGTCCAGATGTATATGAGTAAATAAATTCAAGTATATTCAATGTAGTGTAGCAAGACTAAGACTAAGCAAACACTCTGATATTTCAGATTGAAACTGAATGCATGGGCATGAAAACTATTTTGGATCAAAAGCTTCTGGTTGTTGTCCTGCAAGAGGGCTTCTGCCACTTTTTGTCAATTGTGCAGTCAAATGGGAAATGAGGATCTCGCTTGCTAGTTTCAGTGAGTTGCAAAATGTTGGCAGTGGACTTGGTTTCAAGTGCTGTATCTGCTCCGACTTCAGAAGTCATTTCTCAAACAGTAGAGGCCATTTTCGAAACTGTAGCTGCTGCCAATGATGTCCTTGTTAAGAAGGATACTTTCAAGGAGCTTGCAACTTATGTGGTAAGGGTAGTCCCCATCTTAAGAGAGTTGAACAAGAAAACTGTTGTTCATTCTGAGAGCTTGAACAATGTTATGGAGATTCTTAACCGAGAAATCAGAGCTGCAAAGCAACTGACTCTTGAGTGCAGCAAGAGAAACAAAGTGTTTCTCTTAATGAATTGCCGTCATATAGTTAAGCGCCTAGAGGACATAATGAGAGAGATCAGTCGGGCTTTAAGTCTTCTTCCCCTGACTTCTCTAGATCTTTCATCTGGCATAATTGAAGAAATTGAAAAGCTTTGTGACAATATGCAGAGAGCTGAGTTCAGGGCAGCAATAGCAGAAGAAGAGATTTTGGACAAAATTGAGTCTGGAATCCAGGAGAGAAATACGGATCGTTCTTATGCCAATAATTTGCTGGTTCTTATTGCAGAGGCAGTTGGAATCTCAACTGAGAGGTCAGTGTTAAAGAAGGAATTAGAGGAATTCAGGAGCGAGATAGAAAATGCCCGGCTGAGGAAAGACCAGGCTGAAGCTATACAGATGGAACAGATAATTGCTTTATTAGAAAGGGCTGATGCAGCTTCATCTCCTAGGGAGAAAGAAATGAAGTATATCATTAAGCGGAAATCTTTGGGTGGTCAACCATTGGAACCGCTTCAATCATTTATTTGCCCAATCACCAGGGAAGTTATGATGGACCCTGTGGAAACTTCTTCCGGACAGACATTTGAGAGAAGTGCTATAGAAAAGTGGTTTGCTGATGGGAACAGATCGTGCCCCCTGACAATGACTTCTTTAGACACATCAATTTTACGGCCCAATAAAACTCTGCGGCAATCAATAGAAGAATGGAAGGATAGGAATACCATGATTATGATTGCTTCCTTGAAATCAAAACTCCAGTCTGAAGAAGACGAAGAAGTGCTTCATTGCCTCGGTGAACTACTAGATCTCTGTAAAGAAAGAGATCTGCACAAGGAATGGGTCATACTGGAGAACTACATACCTATTCTCATACAACTTCTTGGTGTTAAAAATCCTGAGATAAGGAACCATGCTCTTGTCAACCTGTGCATTTTGGTGAAGGATAGTGATGATGCAAAGGTAATACTTTGCTTACTTTAACTACATCGTGTACTCTCTCTCTCTATCTCTCCCTCTGTGTTTTTATATATATGCCTAGCAACAGATGCACAAGGCTGTAAAATGCCCCTTGTGCGGTAATATTCTTTTAATGAACAATGATGTTCTTCATTTGCCTACACAAAAAGAAAGAAGAAAAACATGCGCTTATTGTTTGTAGTAATAAATACATTTTATTTTTCTACGTTATCTTTTCTTAATTCCCTCATGTATGGCTATAACCTTATAGTTAATGTTGCAGGAAAGAATTAACAAAGCTGATAATGGCATTGAATCTATTGTTCGTTCACTTGGCCGCCGTGTTGAGGAAAGGAAGTTAGCAGTGGCGTTACTTTTGGAATTATCCAAAAGCAATGTGATAAGAGAGCAAATAGGGAAGGTTCAAGGTTCCATACTCCTATTAGTTACCATGTCCAACAGTGATGATAATCGGGCTGCCAGAGATGCACGAGAGCTATTGGAGAATCTATCATTCTCTGATCAGAACGTTATACAGATGGCAAAGGCAAATTATTTTACACATTTGCTGCAGCGTCTCTCTGCAGGTTCTCTTATCCTCTTTCATAATAATTTCTTATAAATGGCTTGTACGGGATCTTTCTTCTTTTTTTAGGTTGTATAATAAGAAGCCCCTGATGCAGATTGTAAAATAGATCTTTCTAAAATAATGTTGCAACCTTTACTAAAATAACCCTACAAGGTCTGGGTTCAAATTCATTGTTGCAACCTTTAGTATGATATGTAATGGTTCCTTCTGAATTTTAGCATTGTATGTAGTAAAAAAGGTTAGCAATCTTAGTTTTATCACTACAATATGTTCATCAGTGATCCAAGTTTACGCTTGATTCAATAGAATTCCAATAGTTTACATGTTTGCTTCCTTGAATATGATTATGTTAAATTTAATTGGTATGTTAAGAGATCTTTTGGTGTGGTTTATGAAAGCTTAAATGTATTTTATGTTTATATTTATCGAAAAATTTAGCCTTAGGTATGGCAATGTGATTATCAGTTTGTATGTTTGCTACAGTTCATTTTATGAGTAATGAAGGTTCGTTGCTATAAAATTGTCATTTTTTATATTCAGGACCAGAAGATGTGAAAATGGCCATGGCATCAAATTTGGCAGAGATGGAGTTGACTGACCACAATAAAGAATCTTTGATAGAAGGAGGAGTACTGAGTCCACTTCTGTATTTGGTCTCACATGGTGACATTCCAATTAAAACTGTGGCTGTCAAAGCTCTTAGAAACCTCTCAAGCTTACCTAAAAATGGTCTGCAGATGATTCGAGAAGGTGCAGAGCGCCCATTACTTGACCTTCTTTTCAATCTTAGCTCGTCTTTGTCAAGTTTGCGTGAATATTTAGCAGCCACAATTATGCATCTCGCCATGTCAGTGTCTCTAGAATCCAGCCAGACACCCGTTTCATTTTGGAATCGGATGAAGATATTTTAAAGCTTTTCTCTTTGATTAACTTGATGGGGCCTAATGTACAGAAAATCATTATTCGCACCTTCCACACCTTGTGTCAATCCCCCTCTGCTATAAGTATCAAGACCAAGTTGATACAGGTGTGTGTTTTATTCTAGAAGACATTTTTATTTCAATAAAAATTGGTTTCCTGTCTACATAAGTCTACTAGTAGAATGTTAATGGGATCTCGAAGTTTGAATGGAGTGAGAATATCCAAGGGTGGCTAGTCTCATAAGAAATTGAGAGGTAGTGCAAAGTCCTGCAAGCTGAAGCTTCACTTAATGTTATTTCTTAACAGAAAAGACCTGGAAGGGATATCAAACTGAAATAACATTAAGTGAAGCTTCAACTTGCAGGCCTTTTTCTGTTAAGAAACTGCATTGAGATTCATGTTTTGCAATTAGTAGCCAACATCAATCAACTTTCCTAAATCACACTCGTGAAAACTTTAACAACTAGGATAGTGTTTGCCCAATTTGGATTAATGATGCACATTTGAAATTCCCATAATAATGAAAAAGAAACTCATTGAAGGTTTATTAAGAGAAGGTCGTGTTAATAACATTTTCTGACATCTTTTTTAGTTCTTGTCTCCTCCTTATGGGTTTACCCCATGTTGAGGTTGATTATTTTCAACCCTTACGCTGATACACTATGAAGTTAGAAAATGTAAACTCAGGTGCAGCCTATTGAATTTTAGAGTTTAAATTCCTTGTTCCATTTTTACAATTATCTCATTACTTGGAATAATAACATCTTTACCAGACGCTAACTTGATTTACTCTGCTTCTGGTAGATAAGCTTTAACTGATTTGGTTACTTTTACAGTCCTCCGCAATACAAGTATTGGTTCAGTTGTGTGAGAATGATGACCTAAACCTACGAGCAAATGCTGTAAAGCTGTTCTCTTGCTTAGTAGAAGGTGGCAGTGAATCCACCACCATCCTGGAGCATGTGAATCAGAAGTGCATTGAGACTATACTCAAGATCATCAAAGCTTCTGACGATGAAGAAGAGATTGCTTCTGCAATGGGCATTATCTCTAACCTTCCAGAAATCCCTGTGATCACACAGTGGCTTGTGGATGCTGGGACACTACCTGCCGTATTCAGTTTTCTCCAGAATGGCAAGCAGAATGGTCCCCATAAGAATCAGTTAATAGAGAATGCCGTTGGAGCCATTTGTCGTTTCACTGTTTCAACAAACTTGGAATGGCAAAAGAGTGCAGCTGAAGCTGGGATTATACCCTTGTTCGTACAGTTGCTGGAGTCTGGAACCTCCTTGACAAAAAAACGCGCAGCCATATCTCTCTCTCGATTTTCAGAGAGTTCACCACAGTTGAGCAGGTCTCTACCTAACCGCAAAGGATTCTGCTGCTTCTCGGCCCCGCCAGAAACTGGATGCCCTGTTCATGGAGGAATATGTAGCATTGTTTCATCATTTTGCCTGGTGGAGGCTGATGCAGTGGGACCACTAGTTAGGATTCTGGGAGAACCTGATCCTGGAGCGTGTGAAGCTTCTTTAGATGCACTATTAACTTTAATTGAAGGTGAGAGACTGCAGACCGGTAGCAAGGTGCTTACAGACGCAAATGCCATCCCACCTATAATAAAATTTCTTGTTCAACCCTACCCTAGTTTGCAGGAGAAGGCTCTACATGCTCTAGAAAGAATGTTCCGGCTGCTGGAGTTTAAACAGAAGTTTGGATCGTTAGCTCAGATGCCTTTAGTTGACTTAACTCAGCGTGGAAGTGGTAGTGTGAAATCTATGGCAGCTAGAATACTTGCTCACTTGAATGTGCTTCATGATCAGTCTTCCTATTTCTGAAGGAACTTCATGGTTACAGCTACATATGTCAATGATTTAGAGATCAAGCATAAATTCACTTTTATGCTTTAAACTTCAGAACGATCACTAAAAGTTACCAGAGGACTTGCCATGCAAAGCTATAGACATGGGAGCCCGTCGTATTTTTATAAGCATGGCTCTCTGGTCAGTACGTCATTATCTGGTTTCAGTGACGTGTGATTGGACGGACGCAATTTCATTTTTCGAGTCGCAGCGTCAAGATCCAAATGAGAATTTAAATTCTGCTGCTGTTGGACCACGGGGAAGTTGGTTTGCGGCTCATACATGTGGTGCCGCAGGAAGTTGGTTTCTGTCTCTGTATTTGAAGCTTGATTTGTGTATAATGGTGTAAGGAGAAGATAAATCAGTGTAAGCCATCACTGGTGGACTGGTAAGGGAAGCTGAGGTCATTTTTTCAACCACGATTAAATTCTTTTCTAATATAGGATCTGGATTCTTTCTTGTGTATACATAGGAAAAGAAGGTCAAAAATTCAAAATAAATTTTCAGGTTAATTTGTGTCCTTTAGAATAAGTTATGTTGTCTATGCAGTATATGCTGAATGTTTCATTGAAGCAGCTGCTGAAAAACTTATCCGTCATTTAGGACTTGGAAGATGTTTGAATCAATTGCCTTTAACAATCCAGAGATTAAATATTTTTCATTTCTATTTTAATTAATGAACAAATGTGTTTAATGCCTTTACTTTCACACAAAAAACAAAACAAATTGAAAGTGAAAGTGAACAGATAAAAAAAGTTATCAGAGAATTCTAATTAACTACATGGTTTCTTTACTCTGTCACATCCAGAATGAATCTGCTTTCCTACTGATCATAATAACCTGAGATTTTATCATGCTGTTTTCTCCTTCTTTGCTCTCCATCTTCTCCTCCTTCCTACTAATTTAAGAACCTCGTCAATAAGTATCACCGGCACCGAGATCAAAATTACCAGGAGCCATTCATTCAGACTCAATGGAACAACGCCAAACACGTCTGCTAAAAAGGGAATGTAGAGAATGAGGCAATGAAGTCCAAATGAGACTGACATGGCAACCAAGAGCCAAGGGTTCCTCCAAGGTGGCATTTTGACCAAGCTAATATCTTCAGAAAGAGCATTGAGGGAATTGAACATCTCAATGGCCACCAAGACAGAGAGTGACAAAGTCATTGCCTTCACTTTACCAACAGAGAAATAGTCACAAGGGTCAGAGAAACTGATAGTCCGACCTCCGCTAACTGTGAACGGAGCCACGGTAAAATTCGACCATGACGGACACTCTCCCCAATTTTGAAGCTGAGATAGTTCAACAAGTGTATGTCCATCACTCACAAGATTGATGCCCATAAAGGAAGCCTGAGTATACCACAAGATGAAAATGCCAACAGTTGCAATGCCCACATAAGAACCAATTACCTGCAGCCGTGAACATGTAAAGTTTATGACTTTTGCATGGCATGCTGAAGCTCAATTAAAAGTAAATACTAACCAGGTAACGGAAAAGAACCCAAGGACTCATAAGAGCATCGTCACTTTTGCGGGGCGGTTTCTTCATAATATGCATGTCAGCTGGGTTAAATCCAAGAGCTGTTGCAGGTGGTCCGTCGGTGACCAGATTTACCCACAGAAGCTGCACAGGTATCATACATTCGGGTATTCCCAATGCCGCGGTCAAGAATATGGATATTACCTCTCCAACATTTGAAGAAATCATGTACCTGCAGAATGAGAGATTGAAAAGTTCTTACTCGAAGGAAGAAAAGGGTAAGAGAGGGAGGGAACATATTATGCTTATGATGATGAACGAAGAGAGAGATATGCCTGATAAAAGCTTTCATGTTAGTGTAAATGGCACGGCCTTCGGCAACAGCTGAAACAATAGTACTGAAATTATCATCTGCCAAAACCATATCTGAAGCTTCTTTTGCAACCTGGGATATAAAACATGAAGGGTTAGAAGTCACATTGCAAGGCTCCAAGTTAATGATAACTGTAAGTGGCAGAGGGCATCATCCTATGTTCCAAGAGAGTGTGAATGCCACCTCAGTTCCTGTGATGCCCATGGCAATCCCAATGTCAGCAAGTTTAAGTGCTGGTGCATCGTTCACTCCATCTCCGGTCATTGCAACAATCTCCCCTATCTCTTTCAGCATCCTTACTATCTCTTGCTTATGCCTAGGCTCCGCACGAGAGAAAACCTTCCCTCCTGGTTTTGCTAAAAATTCCATTTGTTGTGGCTGGGGTAGAACCATGAACTCTTTTCCAGTAAAACTTCTCCCTTTCAGATCCTCTTCTTTAGAGAACAACTTGATTTCTTGACAGATAGCCTCAGCTGTGGACTTGTTATCTCCAGTTATTACCATAACTCTAATTCCAGCTTCTCTGCAATCTTCAATTGCTTTTCCAACTTCATCACGAGGAGGGTCCTGTGCAAAATAGTTATTAAATGAAATATTTGAAAATTTGAACCTTGAAAATCATCAAGTAGCAAAACATTTGTGGCATATACATACTCTTAACCCAACAATGCCTACAAAAACTAAGTCACTTTCAATGGAGGAGTAGCAGGCTGGATCAAGCAACTTCTTGTGAGCAGGATGGCTCTCAGAATGATAATCTGAAAACTCTCCCAACTCCTCCTTATATGCAAAACCCAAGCACCGCAATCCCTTTGAGCTCATGTCCAAGAGTCTCAAGAGCAATGATTGTTTACAAGGTTCGTCTATTGGAACAAGGGATCCATCAGCAAGTTGTACATGCAAAGTGCGCTCCAGTAAACTCTCAACAGCGCCCTGCAAATTGCAACCATTAAATTATACAAGCACCAGACAGTGCATCAAGCATGAAAACATGCTGTAACAGCAAACTCAAACCCAGTCGTAGACAGCAATGAGACAAAAAATGAGTCACCTTGACAAGAAGTCGGTTACGCCCAGTTGGCTCCCGAACAATAACACTCATAGACTTTCGAACACGATCAAATTCTAGTGTGGCAACCCTTTTCGATCTTTTTGTCCACCACTCACAACAGCCTGTACTTGAAAAATTGACCATTAGAAAGCTTCCCCATTGTCAACAGCTTAGATCATATGAAAAAAGAATAGTTTTTGGCTAACCTAATTTCACTGTTGTGGTGTCAATTAAGTAGCTTGCAGCAAGCTGTGTGTCACGAATTTTGTTTCTCGCCTTGATGTCTGGAACTCCCATCTTTTCAACCAAAACCTTAAGAGCTGCCTCAGTTGGCAAACCTGTAGCCCTGAAGAGCTGGCCATCAAAATAAATCCCAGCATCATTGCAAATAGCACAGATTTCTGCAATGGCTTGCATGTTAGCATCCATATTATAGCAAGTCCAATCAACAATTCCCCCATCCTTGGGATCATAAGTTGTGCCTTCAACACGAATTGTTCGAGAAGCTGTGGTTTTTCCACCCAAAGTGAAGAATTCTGTCACAGACATCTGGTTTGTTGTCAAAGTCCCAGTTTTGTCTGAACAAATCACAGTTGTGCATCCTAAGGTTTCTACACTTGGAAGCTTCCTCACAATTGCATTCTTTTGTGCCATTTTCCTTGTACCAAGAGCTAAGCAAGTTGTAATAACAGCAGGAAGACCTTCTGGGATTGCAGCCACGGCAAGTGCAACAGCTATCTTAAAATAGTATGTGCATCTCTCAAACGAAAACCTAACATTCGTTGGCCATCCATCAACAAGATCCCAAGAGAGGAAATTTTTGTAGTTCATAACCCAAACAATGAGGCAAACAAACCCAATAGCAGTAGTGAACCTGCTGCCAAATTCATCCAGCTTCTTCTTCAAAGGGGTGTCATCTTCTTCCAAAGAAGCCTCATGTATTTGCTTTTGTATTTTGCCAATCTCAGTGTTCATCCCAGTGCTGACAACAACACAAAGACAGCTACCATTGACAACAGTTGTGCCTGAGAAAACCATATTCTCTTTCGCCTGCAAGTCACAATCATCCATAAATATAGGACCAGTGCTTTTCAGAACAGGCATTGCCTCACCAGTCAATGAGCTCTGCTCCACTCGCAAAGTTGAAGTCTTTAAAACTGCAACTCTCATGTCAGCCGGGACTTTGTCTCCCACTCGCAATTCGACGATATCACCAGGAACAAGTTCTCTTGCAGGCAAATCTGGCACCAGATAGCCATCTCTTAAAACCTTTCCAGATTCACTCTGCATCTGCTTAAGGGCTTCAAGTGCTTTTTCAGCATTGCTCTCTTGCCAAACTCCAACAATAGCGTTAAGGATTAAAATCAATACTATCACAAATGGTTCTACATAGGCTTCAAACCCTGACTCCCCTGACTCACCTCCACCCAGGAAAGCTAGAACAAAAGATATGAAGGCTGCAACTAGAAGTATTTTTACAAGCGTGTCATCAAATTGCTCTAACACAAGCCTCCATAAAGGCTTGCCCTTCTCTTTGGAAAGCTCATTCCAGCCATACCTTTCACGCCGCTTCTCGGCCTCATAAGTGCTCAGGCCCTTGTCTAGTTTCACATGGTACTCTTTCAAACACTGCTCAACCGGCCATGACCATGCTGGGACTGGCTTTTCTTCCATTGATGCTTCAATTTTGGTGCTCAAATTTCACCCCAAATGAAAGCAAAAGAAAAACTACCTTACTTGAAATTCTCTTAAACCCATGTCAGGTACCTGCATAATAATTCAAAAACATGTAAGGAATTTCAACAGAGCATGAATTAACCATATATCCTCAAAATATAAATATGTTTAAAACCTGTAAAACAATTTCACGAACCAGATTTGAAAAACTCATCGAGAAAATTTACTGTTCAAGACAAATTGAGAACTTTTACACTCTTTTTCTCCTCTACAAACCCAAAAATGTCTTCTTCCTTTTTTCTTATACTAATTCTTCAAAGTAAACCAGAGGATAAGTCAGTGACATACAGCGTAGTTTCAACTCATTCACAGCAGAGCCATAATATAAAGACCAGGCTGCAACAGAAAAGAGTAGTTTCAACTTTCAACTCATTTAAAGCCCGGCAAGAGAGAGAGAGAGAGAGAGGAGAGAGAGAGAGAGAGAGAGAGAGAGAGAGTGAGTGAACAGAACTAGTCTGCAAACAGATTAAGCAGAGAATATGAACTGAAACTGAAGTGTATGTGAGACACATGTTAGCAGCAAAAGAAAACCATACAAAAATAAGGCAGTTAAAAAGCACAGCACCCCAACAACATATGTCATTTATCTGCAAAACCCAGAAAACAACAAAAGCAAAAACAAAATTTGAACTGTGTGGAGCTTACTTGAACTAAAAATAACTGACCCTTCAACAAGAACATGAAGAAGACATGAAAGATACCAAAGCTGGCTGACTGGCTGGCTTGGACACAAAGCAATTCAAAGTTCAAAGTACACAAAAACTTGTCAAAGAAATGAATGGTTTTGTTTTGAACTTTTAATGAGTGGACTGGCTCCTGTTGATCTTTCTTTTTCTTTGGCTTTTACTTTTTTTTTCCTCCTGGGAAGAATTTTGGGATCTTTAAAGCTTTAAACTTTCAAAATTCGCGTCTTCTTGTGGGTGGGTGAGTTGAGCTTAAAAAATTTTGAAGGAGAGGAGATCGTGCAGCACGAATATGAGATCGTGTTGACGATTATGACCTCGTGGGTTTGGATTATTTACGCGTGGAGCCCCTCAGATTGACTTGTTACCTGCATTTTTTATTGGTGACTTGTTTGCCGTACGCGTATGGCCGTAGGAAGGAATCTATGCTTCCATTTCCATCCTTTTTGTGTGTTCAAGAAAAAACCAGAAATAAACAAAAATGAACTGTTAATTCAAAGCAGAATAATTATTATTTTAATTAATCTCTTAACTAGAATAGAACTTGATGCTCCTTTCATATTCTTGTCTAACTTGTGCCGATGGTTTGGAATTATATTTTACATGCTTTTTGGATTTTCACGAATCTCGTATGCATGCATACCTGTAAATGCACACCCCAAGATTATTATTATAAATTACAAACCTTACGCCATGAATCAAATTTATTAAGTACATATGAGTCTTCGTACTTTTGTGAGAACTTTATTCGAAACTACTTAAGTTTACAACTTGTCTCGTATTCATCTCTTTGTCAGTGCAAACTTGTGTATTCCTGTTTTACAATTTTAATTACAATTATTTGAACACCCGTAAACTACAGAATTACAACCTAACTATTTAATTTACAACAGTTGATTTGGCTCTTATTTATAAACAGCAATTGATTAAAAGCTGTGGAGCTGGCTGCCAACATATATAAACATTAAACACCAATTGGCTGTTCTAGCTAGGATTGAACCGACGTCGTACACGACGGAGACGTATACACATAAATTAATGTCGTACTCATGTGTATGTTAAACACGCCCGAAGGACACCGTCGTATGATCGTATCATTGTTAAAATTTCATCCGTACCCCCACAGAAAAGAGAAAATGACAGCCAGACAGACAGGTAAAAAGAAGAGAATTTTTAAGGTGTGGTGTGGTTTGGGGACAGGGCTGCTGCTAGGCTGGTAAGAGCTGAAGACCAAATGATAATAATAATCAATGATGGCATTTGTTTGTGCGGCTAAAAACCCTGCTTAATCATCATTACCATTAATCAAATTGTTTAATGTTAATGGGGTGGGAAATCCCATTCAAACCAAAGTTCCTGGTAGTTTCTTCTTTTACCTGCCCATAACCACTACCTCATTAAACTAGGGTTTGTTATCAGTTTGGGATCATAAGACAGTGACTTTATTTCTATTTCTATTTCTATTTCCTTCTCAATGGCTTGGATCCAAAAATGCAATTTGCTTGCTTACTCATTAGTTTTGTTTTAATTTTGAAGAAAAATAAGAATTTTGCCTCAACTTCAAGTGGTAAAGAAAGGAATGGTTTGACAAATAAATAAAGGAATAATGTTGCTGTAAGGGGCTTGTAGCCCAAGTGTTTACAAATATTTATCCTTTTATTTGAGATCCTAAGTTCGATTTCCTCATCTCTTGATATTCCTTGTATATTTTTTTAAAGAAAAGAGGAAAGGAAGGGTACTGCCTAAGCTAAATTATAAATGAAGTTGTTGTTCAAGTTGCACTCTATCATTTCTTTGTTTGGTTGGTTTAGCATATCTGTTTTTAATGGAAATAATTCCACTTGCGTTTTGTAGGTGCATTTGTCAATGGGAGGAATCTTCAAAATATCTTCCAAAGCTTAGAGGAGTTGCGATTAAGTACTAAAAGAACTTAAAACTATATATAAATAGTGAAGTGCAAAATCATAATTTCGAAAATTTCTTTAAAATCCCCAACACAAATCTCACAAAAGTAGTCAACTTTATAGGTGTCAAACTAGTGGGCCCATTTTGTGTTCGTGTCGTGCTTAGCTCATTTTGTTCTTGTGCCGTGCCCGTCTAATGGGTTAAAAACTTCGGCATATCCTAGTACATCGCGAAAATGCTATAATGAGGAGTTTAGAGTGATGAGCTTATTTGAGGGGTTTAATCCGACTATCAACAAATGTGAGGAAATCAATGAACTTAAACATTTTAAATAATTTGATAGTGAGATTGAATCCCTCAAATAAGGTCTTCTTTGTAGAAGCTCTTTGGTGCATCGACTTCTTTGGACCCAGTCCGTATCATGCTCGTACTGTGCATATTATAATCATGTCAGTCCATGGGCCGACCCAGTCCTTTAGTCCTACTCATCATCATGTAGGCCCCTAGCTTAGGATATGTCCACCGAGTAGTCCAAATAAACCTCAGCAGCCCATTATCCTAACACGAAAACTCGGACAATCGGACGGTCGATGATAAGTCCCCGGCCGATTAAGATACGGTTGGATATAAAATGCCCAAACCTTACCCTTTCCCCGCTCTCTAATTATTCCCCGCTCTAGGGTTTGCTTGTTTCTCTCTGCTTCGGCCTTTCAGGTATGACTTCTCTAAATTTTTACTATCCTCTACCTTCCCTTTAATTTTTCTTAATCTTCAATTGATCTTTCTCTGTCTTTTTCTATGTTCATCTGTTTGTTCCTCTGTTTTTCTCTTTTTCTCAGTCGTTTGCTCTCTTATTTGGGTTTTTCAGATTGTTTCTTTTGCTGTAATTTGCGGGATAGTAGCTGCAATGAGGCCGGTTTTCGTCGGAAACTTCGAGTACGAAACTCGGCAATCGGAGCTGGAACGCTTGTTCTCCAAACACGGGAGGGTCGATCGTGTGGACATGAAGTCTGGTACGACATTATCGATTGATTTTGATTCATTAATCTCTTTCACAATATAAACTTGAATGATTTGCACAGAAAATTCTATCTTCTGATTGTTGGAGTTGCTAAATTTACGTTCATCATAGTTATATTAGTATATTTCAGTATGGTTTCCCTCTGTAATTCACTTTATTATCTGGGCGTTTGACAAGTTCATGCTTTTGGCATATAGGAGTGTGTGTATGCCTGCTGCCTTTTGAATTTGTGATAAGTTCAATGGCATCGTATTTGTTTTTATTCCTCTGGTTTATCGAATCAGTGTCGAGAATGTTCAGTGATTTCAGTTGCCAGTGCTCCCTCTACCTGCCACACGCTGGTTAAATTATTTTATTTGTGATAAAATAAGAGTCCCAGTATTAATATAAGTTTTTTGGTTATGGATATACTACTACTTTTGTAGTGCGCATATCCAATGCCTCTTTTCCCGGAGGAAAGGAAGCGGCCGCCACAAATTTGCAATATTTTTGGAGAAAATCTCCGCATTTTAAGTGTTTCTTTTGTCGCAGGAACTTGTCTACTAAAGGAAAATGAACTGAGCTTCTATCTGGGCTCGCCAACATCACTGCCAAAATTTTAATTTGGAAAAGGAAACCAACCTGGTTGCCTGCTTCTCTACACTCCATTTACAGATAGCAACATTCCGCATTTTCTTCACTCGGTCTTCCGTCACTCACCCACTTCATCGCATAAAGTTGCCATTTCACAAGAATGGTCATAGTGGGATCAATCATTTGTTATGCCATGCCTGTCACAAGTCTACTACTGTTCATAGGAGATTAATGAAATCTGGCCATGCCTACAATCACTGATAATAGGGGGATCTTTGATTCTATCATGCCATGCCTTCCATTTCTGAACTCGTGCTCTCTGAATGGCGAAGCATGCTTAGCAATGATTTCTCAGACCTGAAACTATGGATTAAAACCTTTAGTATGCTACCATCATGATTTAGTGCATCATGCAACGCCTCTACAGTCTTATGTGCATCAGCCCCTCACATAAATGCAGGTGTTGTATTTACTTTAGTTTGTGCCAGGGGAAAGATATATGAGGCTGATGTACTCCCTGATGAGTGGGTTATATGCTGATTCTTCCTTCGTTCTTATCTGTTTCTGATTTTTCCTCTCTGTTTCAGGTTTTGCCTTTGTCTATTTTGAGGATGAGCGGGATGCTGAAGATGCTATCCAGAACCTCGACAATAAGCCATTTGGTTATGACAGGCGCCGGCTATCTGTGGAGTGGGCTAAGGTACAATCTAGTTTTCTATTTATAATCATTCTCCTTGAAGTCCCACAGTAGTATTTTTTGAGGTATGCTCAGTTCCGGGAGTGTTTAAAGACATCACTATATCTGGTTTTTAACCCCTAATAATTTGATTTGTCAGGGTGAACGTGGTCGCCATCATGATGGCTCTAAATCAGTAGCAAACCAGAGGCCAACTAAAACTTTGTTTGTCATTAACTTTGATCCCCTCCGAACCAAGGTTCGTGATATCGAAAGACACTTTGAACCTTATGGGAAGGTACTTCATGTCAGAATTCGTCGGAACTTTGCATTTGTGCAATTTGACACACAGGAAGAAGCTACCAAAGCTCTTGAGGCTACTCACGCAAGGTCAGTAATTTGTTTCTTTTCTTACTTGGTTAACTCTTTTGACTAAAAGGCTGACAAGCTGAAGCAAAATTTTATCATTTGCAGCAAGATACTGGACAGGGTTGTGTCTGTTGAGTATGCTTTGAGGGATGACGGTGAGAGAGGTGATCGATATCATGATAGTCCCAAAAGAGGCAGTTATGGTAGGCGTGGAGATAGTCCTTATGGGAGGTCACCAAGTCCTGTGTATCGCAGGCGTCCAAGTCCTGATTATGGTCGGCCCCGTAGTCCAGCATATGACAGGTACAACGGTCCAGTGTATGACAGGCACAGGAGTCCTGATTACGGAAGGAATGAGAGTCCCGAATATGGCAGATACCGCAGGTGAGCTGTTGAGAGTAGAGTTCATTTGCTTGTTAGCTGTTGAAGGCAATACTATTTCATTTCCTGATCCGTTTTCTTGAATCTCTGCTTACAGTCGCTCGCCTGTTCGAAGATCAAGAACCTGAAGTCATCAGATGCAGTAGTGGGTTAAACATGTTAGTTCTTGTGGTTTTGCTGTAGCTTTAGGTAAATTTGTAGAGGATGAACGTATTATGATAGTGCTTAGGTTCCTTACATTGTATTGTTGACTATGCGTTCCAAAGTTTGCTGTTATCAAACTAGTGTTCTACCGTTGAAGTAATCAATGGATGTGGCTAGATTCGCTTGCTGGAAACATATTGGCTTCTTACGGCTGTAGTGTTTGCTTTTGACCTATTGTTTGAGTTGGCAATGAAATTGAAATGTTGGGTTTCTAGGTTGCAGGATTGATTTTATTTCTTACAAACTAATCAAAGTGGTGATTTGGAATGTGGGGTGATGCCAACCTACTTTTTTAAGTTGTTGGGATGATATGGACCTGTCGAGTCAGAACGACAGCTCTTTGATTTATCACAGTTTTGTGGCTTGTTCATGGCTTTGATTAAAGATTGCCTAAAGCAGCAAGCAACTTGCCATTCTTCTTGAATGAAGTTCATGCGGAGGAAGCTTCGTTGCATTCTGGGCAGCTCTTCCACCATGTGCCATTTCAGTCACGCAATTTCTAAGCTTAATTACCGGGGAATATGCTTTTAGCACTTTCGGTTCAACATGGCTCCTACTGGTTATGAAATGGTAGCTTCAGAAGGCAACAATTTTTCATTTTATTTTATTCTCACGTTTCTCAAAATCACTTTAAAAATTCGATCCCATAAGCATCCTCATAATTATCAGCAATTTCTTTATTGATTACCACCTGTTCCTTGTGATTAAGCCAAATTAACACAAGTTTCAATGGATGCTCATTTGGGGGGTGAAGGGGGCAAATGGGACAACAAACCCTTAATCATTGATCTTCTCCTGTCAATTACACCATGACATCCAATCCAACAATTTAATAACATCATTAACAGTAGCCTGCAGCAACCAAGTTGCAAAAAACAGATTGAGATCGTAAATATTTTTTCGTTTTCTCAGCTACTGCAATTCAAGAATCAAGTGCTAGAGGACTTTTGAGTTTCTTGATCAAGAGCTTTCTCAAGCCATGTCTCAGCATCTTCCATCATCTCAGGACTCAGCCTCACCATCAGGATACAAAACTCAGTCTCATTGAGTGCACCATCTCCATCAAGATCTCCTTCCCCAACCATCGCCTCCGCGTCCTCTTTGCTCATGCCCTCCATGCCGAGATACGCCGAATTCTTCTTCAGGCTCTCCGGGGTGATCAAACCTCTTCCGGGGTCTGCCAGAAGCCGAAAACCCCCGCATAACTCGGACACAAAGCTCTCCACGTCCAGCTTCTCTGCCATAACTGGCAACAAGTCCTGGTATTCTGTTGTTGATGTGGTCTTCCTTGTGGTGCCATTGGTTTCCATGGTCAGCTTGCTGCTGTTGCTCAAAGACAATATTCTATTTCTAACGTGGTTTGCTAGAGTGGAAACTTTGATACAAAAACAAATACCACAAGGACTTTGCACAACTATGAAGAATATATATATATATAATGGTTGGCTTAGGCCTTTATAAGCATATGGAAAGTCACTTGCTTTTTATGTAGAAGCTATACATCAATACGAAATACATCATTTTTGTTAGAGTACAAGCGATAGTCTAAATCATAAGAGATGAAGATTTCTCACATACACACAATTATAATGCCGTTGATTCGAACATAATACCTTTGATATGCAAGTCAAGAGCGTTTCATTGTACGTCATTGTTTGTGTGGAATTTAGTGATATTAATTGGCCACATGCCTGGCAGGCTTTGAGTTCTCCTTCAATCTTAGCCCTCCCATTTTGGGTTGTTAGAACTTAAAAGCCTTGATGCCCCACTACCCACAAATTGCCTAAAGCAATCCACTCATCATTGAAGGGAATTTACACATATGTGATGTTGAAAGTCGATCAAATGGACGGTTGGTTCGTCAAGGAACAAGACACGTGGATGGCCTAAAAATGTCTGAAATTCCAAGTCCTCCTGACATATAATGTGACCAATCTGATATTTATTTATTTTTGGTTCTAATCTGATGTTGAATTTTATTCCAATTAATTTGAACGGTTTCTAGGAAGGTTCTTTTTAGTGGTGGAATAGGGACCCTTGTGGCTAAACGTAATCTTCAGAGAGAGAAAAGCTGAAGTTGTCCGTGAGCTTTGGCTTCTATGAAGCTTCCTTTCTCTCTTATCAATTTGGTTGTTTGGATTCTTCTACTCTGTTGTTCTGTCATGGATCTCTGCCGTCCGATTTTATTGTTTTCTTTTCTCACTAATAAGTCCCCAACCAGCCCTTTGGAGCATTTGCCACCACCCACACCTGTAGGTCAGTGCTGATGATAAACGTGGGACGGAAGGAGATGGCCAGTTTTTTTAAATTTATTTATTGAAGGAAGAAGAGAGCGAGAGTCGAATTCTTATTCCAAATAATTAAGTGCTCTACCACTCAGATTATTAATTATTTTGTGCCTAACTCGTTCACAAGAACTACATTTAGTTGATCTAACATGCCTAAAGTTAGTTACCAATCTGGCTTTGAACATGATGACGTCTGTTCCTTAAGGATCGAATCAGAATCATAGAGGCTTGACATAAAAGCTTAGTTTTTGTGGTATGTAATGATTCTGATTCTTCTATGGCATCACATTTCATTTTGGGAGATTCACCATTATACACAATATAGGGACCCCAAATGATATAAAAACTCTATATAAAATAAACTTTAGAAACACACCCAAACCTCATTACAATATAACAAAAATGTTTCGACCTCTCTATAAATTACAAAACTGCCATCAATTTATTAAAACAAGCCCAACCTCAAAACCTCATAAAAAAAACTCAAAACACTCAATAGGTTATTAAAGTAATTTAATAATCAAAATTAAATTCAATAGAGTCAGTTGTCATTTTTTAGGTTTGTTTATAAAAATTAAATGGTGTAAAGTTTATCTATATTACTAATGCTAAGAATGGATATATATAACTAAATATCTCATTATTTTTTCATTGACATCTCCTTTTCTAGTTTTTGGAATTTATATATCATAATTGAGAAAGTTATGCATATTCTCGTCACATTCATCTGACCCACGTCTTGGCCGAAATAACAAAATTATGGGCAATGAAAACAAAATTCAGCAAGAAAGTATTAGTCACGACGAGTAAAGCAAACAAAGATGTCGACCAAGAAATACAAAGATAAATGGTATCATAGGAACAAGTTAAATCATCATTCGTCGTTATGTCGACAAAATTACAAAAAAAGTCGGTAAGAATGCAATGATCACTTAATTATAATATAATTTATTTTAACAACTACTCCATTAGACCAAGTTAATAGATAATTTGCCTTTAATTAACATCAATCCACCGAAAGTCCTTTATTTTCATATGCGTCCAAACAACCTACACAACAATGCACCAATGAATAAAAAGAGGGAGAAAGTTAACAAAGAATGGACAATCTAAAAAGAATTTGTGAAGCCCTACAACAAGAAAAAGGCTAAGGCCCAAATTTCCCATCCCTATCAAGGATCAACAATGCACCTTCTCCATTTGATCAGTGAGGCAACATGAACTTCCAAATCTTCTTGTCACCTTCTCATGTATCAAGTCCTCAGCAATACCAACTTCTCCAATCCACAATGGTTACTACCACCTAATTCAGGAATATGGTAACGTTCTACTGTCAGATATTTAATAAGTTACGTTTTCTTTTTTTAATTTTTAGTCTTTTTAGTTCGGTAAACTAATATCAATTATTTGGCACAAAGTTAGGGTTATGTTCTATATTGTCATATATCTAACATATTATGTTGTCTGACAACCGAATGTGAAACTGTCTCATATGTGAAACTGTCTCATAAACTAAAATGTTCCTTCGTGCATTTGTTTACTTTTGCAAGATCATTACTCACAAAGGACACCACAAAGCCAGTTGAATAGACTTCTTTTGTACACGATGAATAGAAACTTACGAAAAATCAAACCAAACGAAGTCCACAATCCATTTCAGTATGCTACCAATTCACCTTGACAATCTTAAATTTTTCAAGAACAAACTTTCCTTCTTTGTACTTCTGCAATTCCTCATAGGCTTTTACATATTTCCAGCCCAACACCTCCTTACAATCACAGCAGTGTACATCTGCAACTGAGTGCAGGCCTGTGATGAGATGTCGGTCCTCTGTAGGCCCTACAACCACATTCATTGCATGGGAGAACAGAAACGCTCTGCCCCGGCTTGCCTATCAAAGCAAAGCAAATAAGAATTCACTAATGAATGATATACATACGTTTATATAAGAATTTATCTGATCATTGATCGTGTGACAACATAACATGTCAGACTGTAAAATCAAATTCATTTAAACATCGACAATGGAAAAATGTGACATATTAAATCGATAAAGAAAGATTTCTACAAACTGAAATATCAATTTTGTAGTAAATTATAACACACACCAGAGAGCAGAGTTTCAATGCATGATGCATCATAGTGTTTATGGAGAGATCAAACATGGTTCACCTGAAAATCTTTGGAGACAATATCATCATGACAGCAAACATGGTTCTGGCACTTGTAGCAGCCATACAGCCTTGGCCCAGCTAAATCCTCCATTGATTAGGATCTTTGCTTAATATCAATATCTCTTTACTGCTGTACACAAATTACAAAGAGAAAGAAATAGTCAAATACAAATTAATTGCAAAGCTTGATGTTAGCCATCAAGCCAAAGTCTTCTTCTCCATAAAACTGAATAGCAATCATCCAATTGAAGAACACCATTTTGGGGATCAATTATTGAGATAAGAGTCTAAAAAAAGGATAAAATTAACAAAGATGATTGATGAGAGAATCCAAACAATATATGTCGGATAAAGAAATGGGATTGATTAAGACAGGATTGTTGATTAGTACTCTAATCTTTCCAAAGTTTGGAAGACAATGATAATTTAATAGCATTTAATATATGTTGAAGGTGTTGTGTCACAATTCATCCTTAATTAAATGAAAAACCTAAAGCTTTGTTGTTTCTTACTTGGAGACTATCCTTCTTTTCAATACCTACCTACCCATCAGAGAGAGAGAGAGAGGGGTTTTACAGTATTTTACTGTACCTTTCTTCAAAGCTGAGGGTTTTGGGTTTTTGACTTTCTGAGTAATAGATTATGAAGAGAGTAAAGAGAGTTAAAATATGCCTAAACAAGGTAACTAAAAAATCTATAAAAAAAAGTGACAAAAACAAGAAAGAAATTTATAAATAAAAAACGAAGACAAAAAAATGGCAAAAAAGATAGAAATTCTCTAAAAAGCTTCATCAATTAATATTAATATGATAAAATTATTAAAATTAATTTACCATACAAACTGTTTTTTTTCCTGTGGAAAACAAAATTACCACACAAATTTTTACAAATTATTAAGAAAACTATCGACTTTCTTTTTCATCACAAAATTTACTAAAATTAAACCTCAAGGCACCGTCTCTTCATCAAATTAAAAGACGACCCTCACCTCACTGACTGAGACTCTGATTAGGGTTTCACGCAAAGCCCTGCCAAGTTCACTGGGTCGAACCGATTTCCTCTGAATCCGTGGAAAGGTATGTAATTTAGTGCCGCAGAATTCATTTTATGCATGTTTTTGCGGACTTTTGTTATTTTGATGAGTTTTTAGTGTCTATGGTGCATAAAGATTTAATCTTTTGCTAAGAATAAATAAATATACTATCTCTGCCTCTTGTGTGGGTTTTTCATTTTCTGGATAATGTACGGTTGGTTAGTAATTGAAATTTTCTCATTAGGCTATTGATTGTTATTGGTTCTTGTCAAACGGGTACCTGAATACTCATAGTTAGGAGTTAGCTCAACTCTTTTGCAATTTTGCTTTATTTTTTCTTGTTCTTAAGTCAAATTGTGTAATGGGATTTTTTATTTTTAGTTTCCTGTATGTGGTTAGTTTTGGTGTGAATTGTTCTTGGTAGTTGTATAAGTAGATACAGTATAATGACATCTCGAAATCCAAAAGAATTGCAGAGAGTGACTTCTTGTTTGAAGCTTTAGGACATGGAATTCTGCCCGAGTTGTGCAAATATGCTGCAGTATGAGCTGCCGAACATGCACGACGCAAGATTCTTCTGTCCAACTTGTCCCTATGTGGCATACGTCGATAGGAAGGTGTAGCTAACGATTCATATTCAAAGTTCTCTTGTTATGGCTTTTTAAGGGTGTACAAAATGTGATTGCTGGTTTACTTTTTGCACTTGCAGGTTAAGATCAAGAGAAGGCAACATCTAGTTAAAAAAGAGATCCAACCCATCTTTACTCTGGATGACTATAAGAATGCGCCCAAAATTGAAGGTTTGTTTCATTTTTCCTGCCCTAGAGGTTTCTTGTTTTTCTCTTTCTTTTGGTTCAAGTCATAATTTCTTCATCAGAGTAGGAATGTTTGTTAAAACTGGTCAGAAACATGCTGTTTTGAGCTTATTTCTTGAAAAGCAGTTCAGTACTTTTGATGTGGTTGCTGAAGTAAAGAAAATTATTTAAATTTTAAGTTCTGAGTTGGGTTGTTAGAGTAATCTTTTAGCTTTTGGTTGGACGAGGTTCATCATCTGAGGGAATTCAGGCTCTTTAGAGGTTATCTGTGAGGGTTGTTCTTGTCTCGTAAAAGGATTAGGTATCTTATTACACACAAGAGGACTTTTCCCACATCTTGAGTTCCCCTTGATCTGTTCTTAACAAAGTTACTAGTTTATGGGGAAGATGGCAGGTGATAAGCATTGATGACTATAAGAATCCTTACAAAATGTTATCCAGTTTGGGAACTAAAGGGAAGTAGCTTTCATGCCTTGAGATTAAAGAAAGTTTTTAGAATTCTCCACTTGTTTCATCGTCAAATTAAATGAAAATTCAACTTTAATCTGATTGGTGATGGGCCCAATTCTTGAAGATTTGGACTCCATTTAAGTGGCAAGAAAAGAGAGAAATCCTAAATAAATGCTTCTACAGAAAGGAAAAACCCTTGGTTGAGGATACGATAGATGAGAGTTAGTTAGCATGGTGTGGTCAGTGTGAAAATCAGTCATTCCAATGGACCAGAATATGGTCAGAAAGCATGTCACACACAGATGTGGAGGAATATCCAGTGTTATGGAATTTACAATATTAATAGATGACTTGTGTGGAATTGATGCTGTGAAAATGTTTCTGAAATTGTTTTACTAAGGTTTAGGTTATCTTGAGCTTTGCATGGTATAGCTAAACCTCTTTTCTCTAATTGGTATGAGATATTGCTCTTGGTTCTACTCTTACACATCTGCAGTAGTTGTCTGTAATGTATCAATCTCAACTGAATCATAAAACTTGATGAATGTCCAACTGAAATTACATACAGCCAAGCATTTGGTGCTCGAATATGAATGTCAAAGCATAGGACACTGTCTTATTCTTGAATTCATTTTGTTGTTCTCCTGTTGATGCTAATGCCCTGTAAAATTTTGTTGTACAATTGCGAATTTTTCAAGAGATGAGGTCTGACTTCTTGTTTCTGTGCTTTCTTGTTCTTCTCTTCTCTGGCAGAACCATGCCCAAGATGTGGATTTCCTGAGGCAGCTTACAGGACACAGCAAACGCGATCTGCTGATGAAGCAGAAACAAGATTTTTCAGGTGTATGAACAACAACTGTGGACACACGTGGGTTGATTACTCTTAGAAGGAGATCTTTGTGTTCGTAGAGTTTTGATCCGTTTTACTTGCTCCAGTTTTGAGTTTTGGCAGAACTGTGAGGTGACATTGTGGACTGCCTCAACAAAGGGAAATAATACTTAATTATTCATACATTGTGTTGTTTTATCTTTTGCTGCAATGACCATTCTTTCATCATCGCTTCATGAATTTATCAAAGTTGTAATCAAATCTGCAATAAAAAAGGCGGCTCAGCGTTTATCAACAAATCTGGTAAACTATTTATACTCATCAAACAAAAGCAAACAGGAAATCAGCACAAAATTTAGTCCAGAGAAGGATCACGACTTCTGAAAAAAGTGAGCCGCATCCAATACAAAGGTTAAACATCTTGTCGACCGTTAAATAGAAATACCAGTGAACATTATAAACGCAGATAAAAATGGTCAAACAGAGGGGAAAATTTTTAGAGAAAAAATGGGTTCAGTATGATCTAAATTAGTGAACAGGCACTTTCTTCTTTTCTATCCATCTCTTTCTAGTCACTTCCAATGCTTTCTCCCTCATCCTAGAGAGTTCTTGGAACCAGCGCTGGTACTGTGATTCAATGGTATCAAGTACCGACTTCAACTCAGCATCCAGATCATTATCTGCCAAAGACAGTGAAGAACAGCTGCTTGTCAAGCTCATAACCTTTGGTGCTTCGATTTCAAGCAACGGAAACACCAACTTCTCTGTGATCCCATTCACCAGAGAGCATTCCTCTGCATTACTAGCATAGTTGCTTTGAAATTTGATGTCATAAAAAAATGAGCACATGCAGCTTCCAGCAGTATTGCTGCAATCAACAGATTCAGCTACTTTGTCGTTTTTGGTGGAAGCATCATCAACCAGTACAGCAGACTCAACTGATACTTTCGAATGTTCATCAGCAAAATCAGCAAAGCTTGGATAAGAGGTAATGCCACCATTACAATTAACTGTTTCAGGGTTATCACAGCAACTACCATCTTGCTCAACCCCGGAACTAGCAGGAATACCAGATAGCGCTGAACCCCACAGGCTGGACATTGAGGGTTGGCCACCATAAGGACTTACTGGTCCGCTTGAGGAATAATCAGATGAAGGCTTCCAACCGGGTAGAAGTTTCATTATCAAGTAATCAATAAACTCAGCAATGAAGGCTACATCATGATCTGTTAACTCCAGTTGTTCAACCATCTCACTCGCCACAGACACTGCGGTATCAGTAGCAAGGTAAAAGATAAAATGTATGTAACTCACCTTACCTGTAAGGTACAAAAAGAGTCATGTTATTAAATTCCTGCACTGGAACCACACTACAAAAATTTGGATATCCACTCTCTCCCAGTTTCCATACTCACCACATGCATCAGCAATACGCAAGGTCAATGAGACTGAATCATCGTCAATTTTCATCCCATTTAACCTGAACTGGTTGTTTTTATTTGTCCTTTGAAATTCCAGAACCTGTGGACTTCCATTGTTGCTTCCTGCACATGTGCTTATAGATAGCTGCTTATAATCAGTATCTATGTCCATGGAAAGAGGCCCCGACTTGGGTAAATTTATTACTTTCAGACTTTGGTTAGGTAACTGTAAGGGATCACGGATTGGTTCCATCGGGTTGTCAACTTGAAGGAATGGGTCTTTGAGCAGCTCTTTTGCAGAAAGCCTCTCGGATGCTTGAACCAGACATTTCTCAATGAACTCTTTAATTTGGGGGTCATTCACCTTACCAAGGGATGCAGGTTTAATGCCCTGCAATATAACATACCAGAAATTAGATACCTAGGCTGCCTAATGATTCTACTTCAAACAGCCAAAAGAAAGAATAATGATGATAATTCTGATGATTTTCGGCAACTTACAGAGGTAACCTTCTTAAATATTTGAGCAGGACTTTTGCATTCACTATATGGATACTCAAAAGTAACCATCTCTAACATGCACATCCCAAAAGAGTATATGTCGACGAGTTCGTTATACTCCTCTTCATAGAGCTCTGGAGCCATAAACTCAGGAGTCCCTTACGTAGAAAAAGGAAAAATTTCAGTACTAATTTGGTCAGTTAAAATTAAGAGATGGCATCTGATGACATGGATTTCTCACCAATCACACTTCGAGCAGTAGGTTGTTGCATAACAGTTGCCAATCCCAGGTCTCCGATTTTAACTTCTCCATGATTTCCATTGATGAAAATATTGTCACATTTTAAGTCTCTATGAATGATAGGCGGGTTGTGACTGTGGAGAAAGACTAAACCTCGGAGAATCTGCCTCGCCCAATTCCTTATGGCCTTAGTATCGACATTTTTATACTTCTTCCGGTACCTGATAACCAAAAGGTGCATCATCCGTTTAATGGCATATAGTGCAGCCAAGCAATACAAAGACATAATGAGAAACAATTAATAGAACATACTGCCTTAGACTTCCAGATGTGAAGAGCTCAGTAATCATGTTAATAGTATTTTTGTGGGCATCCACCCAGGAATTATAAAACTTAATAATATTTTCATGATTCAGTGATTTCAGCAGATGAACTTCAGAGTACAATTTTTCCAAATCTTCTGGTGATCGCGAGACAGCATCAATCTTCACTTGGTTCCAAGCGACTTCTATTCCATCAACTTCATCAAATGCCTTGTAGCTGCAGAACGAAATGACAAATCCAAGCGAAAAGCCAGAAAAATTGCCTCAAGTTAACAAAATATAACTTCCTAAATGTAATGGCTTTCAACCAAAGAAAGAAAAGAAGGGCAATGACTTTCCGAAAGAAATAGCAGCACAATAAACCTGAAGGAGGAAGAAAGAAAAAAATTAAAGAGAAAAAGGTCTCAGAACCATACACAGTCTTGAAGGCACCCTTGCCCAAGATTTCATTGTACTGTTACCAAGAAAAAGAGAATAAATGAATCAAAGAAGAAATAATGACTGAGAAAACAAAAACAATTTTCTCATTTCTAACAAGCAATAATATGGGCAAGCTAGAAGCAATAAATTATCTATATAGTCAGCCAAATTGGCTTGAAAGTTAGCTCAATCTGATAATAAATAATACAAAGGACATGCAAAATTGAAAACAAAAACCAGATTCAGGGAATGACGGATAACAATTCATGTCAAGAAATTATTTGAAGCAGAAAAGATATTGATTATGGAGTAACTAAGTCAACAATGAACAATCAATACTAACTTCGATTAAATCATTGGCTTGAGCAATATATTTGCATCAAATGTGACCAATTACAACATGAATGTCAATACACCAAAACCATACAAACATATCGACAAGGAACAAAAAACAAGATTGCAGATTGAAAACCAGCATTCACCAATAAGCAAAATCTAAATTTCAATAAGATATCAAATTCCATTTAACATTTCCAATCCAAAATGCAATTCAAGTTGTGACAAATACCCGAACATATCTATTGCTCGGGTCTCTCTCTACATAATCGGCCTCTTCATTGGGAGGCTTCACCTTCGAAAGCATTCCATTACTTGATGGTGGAACCAAACTAACCCCTGTATCCATTTCCTGTGAAGAACCAAACAGCTACCAGAAAGACAAGGACTTTTTATATAATTTGTTTTTGCTTTATTAAATAGTTTTGTGGGTCAAATTTTATTCTTTGAAAAGTGTGTTCTCTCATTCAGCTAATGGGAGCAATCGCGGTTGATCGGGTCAACAACCGACGACGCTCATAGAAGGCTTCGGAGGCAATGCAGAAGGGATCGAATGCCGATTGGAAGCGAAATCGGCATTCGATGTTAATGGAGTGAGGCAATGAGCCGAGAGAGTTCAAGACCCCAAGTTCCATACAAATCGATTTTCTCATTCTTTACACCAAGCCCATCACAACCCACTTGAGGAAATCCATCTCTTAAGCAAACCCAAGTCGCAGAAAAGGCTCTCAAAAGTGCTGGAAGTTGAACATTGGGATGACCCAGATGAGAGAGAGAGAGAGAGAGGAGGGGTGTGCAATTCGACCGTTTGAGATTGAGAGAGGACCAAAAATCTGAACCAAGAAAAAAAAGCAAGAGACAGAGTGTGAACAAAAATGGGTTTTGGAATTTGAGAGAGAAGGTGGAGAGGAGGAGAGAGCGGGTATGCTGGATTTTGATTTCGGAGACGTGCGAAAATGAAGGTCACAACAGACATTTGTGTGGTCGTTTGTCTTTTATTATTTTTTTTTCAAGGAACAAAAAAAATTGGTTAATTGTATTTGTGGGGTCCAAGTGCAAGTAATTCTTTCCATCACTAATTCTAAACAACCGGTGATGATATTAAGGAAGAAAATTTTAACCCCCTCAAAGGAAGCATAATGGTTTTGCATTTTCACTATTTATTTTCACATCACTTTCGAATCAAAATCAGTAACTTAAATTGTAAACGTGAGTTAAGCCAATTGATAAGAATAATGAGTCTGACACCTTATACTCAAGTTTGAGTTCCCCTCATTCAAGATTAATTTAGAATAATTTAGATATCGTTGTTTAAAAATATATATATATATATCAATCAATAACTTTGAATTATATTTTTCATGTCATAAATTTTATATGAATTCTTTCATCACAAGGTATTTAGATACATGCAAGTTGCAACACATGAACCAGAGACCAATATGTTATAAATAGAAGCAAGAGAGTACCAAGAACACAAAGGTTTCGTGGTGTAGTTGGTTATCACGTCAGTCTAACACACTGAAGGTCTCCGGTTCGAACCCGGGCGAAGCCATTGCATTTTTCTGAACCCCATCTACATTTTTGCCCTTTTAGACTTGAGTTATACGACGAGTCGTATGCTTTCAATTATTAGACAACGACAATTTAATTATCACAGCCCAATACTATTACGCCACGTGTACCATTTTATGTTAAATCATTGGTCGGTCCATCTGCGAAGAGTGCAGTGACAGCACTGGTACTAATTTCTCCATCGTATGAAAGTCTCACCTTTTTTATTTTATTTTTCTCTGCACACTCGCAGAAAATGGAAACCAGTAGAGTCTCTCGATCCCGACAGAAGGCTGACGTGGCAGGCGTGCTCCGGAAATCATGGTACCATCTACGGCTGTCGGTGAGGCACCCGACCAGAGTTCCCACGTGGGACGCCATCGTCTTGACGGCGGCCAGTCCCGAGCAAGCCCAGCTCTACGAGTGGCAGCTCACGCGCGCCAAGCGGGTGGGCCGCATAGCCGCCTCCACGATCACTCTGGCCGTGCCCGACCCCGACGGCCAGCGCATCGGCTCCGGCGCAGCCACCCTCCACGCCATTCACGCCCTCGCCAAGCATTACCGCACAGTAGCCCCACACTCCGAGGTAAGCATTGTTCTGAGCTTGGCATTGGCTGCATTAGTGATGTATGTGATCAAATTTATGAACTTTGTAAAATTGTGACGTGGGTAGCAAAATTCTGACTCTACAGACCAAAGAGTAGTTGCAAGTTGCAATTTTTAATGTGGGTTGTTCAGTTTTCACACAACAGCTTAAATGGGTGCTTAAATCTATCAATTTTACAATAAATTGAAGAATAAAGTTGCTGACTTTACTATAATGTCATTAGTAAGTAGGAACTTTGAGTGCTGCCCATGTTTTTTTAATAATAGTTTCCGTGTGGTAATCTGTTTCATTTCAAACACTAACAGGTGGCAACTACAAGCAATGGTAGTTCTGGGTTCTCTGAGTCTCATAAAAAACCAGAGGATGAAGTGGATGATGATGATCTCTCGCAAATGGTTAGCTTCATTGCCAAAAGGCATATATTATTGCTACATGCTGGAGGTGATTCTAAAAGGGTCCCCTGGGCAAACCCCCTGGGGAAAGTTTTCCTGCCACTTCCGTATCTGGCAGCTGATGACCCTGATGGGCCAGTCCCGCTGCTTTTTGATCATATACTTGCAATTGCTTCTTGTGCAAGACAAGCTTTTAAAAATGAAGGTTATTTGTTTCGTCTACTGCATTTTAAGTGAAATTGAACATGAGTTAGATATATCAATGACACTCGCATTGTGGCTTTTGGTAATGTTACTGAGTCATCTCTCACAGTATCATATATCTTCGCGCTAATGTTGTTTCTATCTTCTCAGGTGGAATATTTACTATGACTGGAGATGTACTTCCATGTTTTGATGCCTCAAACATGGTGCTTCCAGAGGACACATCCTGTATCATCACTGTTCCCATCACCCTTGATATCGCGTCTAACCATGGTGTTGTTGTGGCATCTAAGAGTAGAAATGTAGAAAGAAGTTATACTGTCAGCTTAGTTGATAATCTCTTACAGAAACCTAGCTTAGAGGAACTTGTTAAGAACAATGCAATTCTCGATGATGGTAGAACACTTCTTGACACTGGAATAATAGCAGTTAGAGGTAAAGGGTGGGAGGAGCTTGCTGCACTTGCTTGTTCCTGCCAACCAATGATTTCAGAACTTTTAAAGAGCGGAAAAGAGGCAAGTTACTATTGCTAGAGGAGCTTTCCGTTCATGCCGTCCTGCTAATGTATAGTTTACAATAAAGTCAACTGGACTATTATTGCAGGCTTTGTTGTTATATAATGTGCATAGATTTCTTTTAGTGTGTGATTTCCTAGTATTTTTGGAGAGCTTTTAAAGCTTTAATAATATCCATATATTTTTGCAGATGAGTTTATATGAAGATCTTGTAGCAGCTTGGGTACCTGCAAAACATGACTGGTTGCGGCTACGCCCCTCAGGCGAAGAACTCGTCAGTAGATTAGGAAAACAGAAGATGTTCAGCTATTGTGCTTGTATGTGTATCCTTGATGCCAGTATCCAAATCTTATTGTTTTCATCTATTTTCTATCTGATTTATTATTTTCTATATCATTTCTGCTTCTTGATTTCCCTGCAGATGATTTGTCGTTCTTACATTTTGGAACCTCAAGTGAAGTTTTGGATCATCTGAGCGGAGCTAGTTCGGTACTGGTCGGTCGAAGACACCAGTGTTCTATACCAGCAACCAATCTATCTGATATTGCAGCATCTGCTGTTCTTCTTTCTAGCAAAATTGCACCTGCTGTCTCCATTGGGGAGGATTCTCTTATATATGATTCAACCATTTCCAGTGGAATACAAATTGGTTCCCTGTCTATAGTTGTTGGTATTAATGTTCCATCAGTGAATGATACTGCTGCTGAAAATTCATTTAGGTTCATACTTCCGGATCGTCATTGTCTTTGGGAGGTTCCGCTAGTAGGACGCACCGGAAGAGTCATAGTGTATTGTGGCCTTCATGATAACCCCAAAAATTCAGTCTCTAAGGATGGAACTTTTGTGGGAAGCCCTGGAGGAAGGTCTTGCATGATTTAGGAATTCAAGAAAATGATCTATGGAGCTCAACTGGTACTCATGAAAAGTGTTTATGGAATGCAAAAATATTCCCTATTCTTTCTTACTTTGAGATGCTAAATTTGGCATCATGGTTGATGGGCTTGAGTGATCAAAGCTCGAAGCATTTTCTTTCATTGTGGAGAGGTTCACCACGTGTCAGTTTGGAGGAGTTGCATAGATCAATTGATTTTTCAAAAATGTGTCAAGGTTCCGTTGATCATCAAGCAGACCTTGCATCTGGAATTGCTAAAGCGTGCATTAAATATGGGATGCTTGGCTGCAACTTATATCAATTGTGTGAAGAAATTCTGCAAAAGGAAGATTTAGGAGTCAAAATATGTGAGGACTTTCTAGGTCTTTGTCCCAGACTCTTGGAGCAGAACTCTAAGATTCTTCCCAAAAGCCGAGCTTACCAGCTTCAGGTTGATCTTCTTCGAGCATGCAGGAATGAAACAACAGCTTGTAAGTTGGATCACAAAGTTTGGGATGCAGTTGCTGATGAAACTGCTTCAGCTGTAAAATATGGTTTTAAAGGTAGAGTAAGTTATTCATATCTCAATAATAGCGTGATTGTATAAAATTCGATGGGAAAGGATAAAAAGGATAAGATAAGATAAGCTTTCTCCATCCATACAACAATGACTTTGAATATTCATTCATTTTTGTCATCCTTTCTTTCTAAGTAATCTCTTCCTCATTTTTAAACGTAGATACTATTCTTTTGGCATCTCAAGTCTGATGTTTAATAGTCCTTAATCTTTAAAGGACCAGAAATTTACAAAACACTTGTTTTAATCCATGGTCTGTAGAGTATCTATTTGAGGCACCCAGCGATATCCCTACTCCAGTTTATAAGAACAATGATTTTGATGGCTCTGCGGATCATTCTTTCCACCCTAGAAGGGTAAAGGTTGAATTACCAGTTCGTGTGGATTTTGTTGGGGGTTGGAGTGACACGCCTCCATGGAGCTTGGAGCGTGCTGGTTCTGTTCTGAATATGGCAATAAGTTTGGAAGGTTCTCTTCCCATTGGAGCCATCATAGAGACGGCAGAAACAACTGGTGTCTTTATTAAAGATGATGCTGGAAATGAGATACACATTGAAGACCTAACCTCAATTGCTACTCCATTTGACGGCAATGATCCCTTTCGGCTTGTCAAATCTGCACTGCTTGTGACTGGCATTACTCATGAAAGTGTTGTTGCATCCATGGGCTTGCAGATCAGGACATGGGCCCATGTTCCTCGTGGCAGTGGCTTGGGGACTTCTAGTATCTTAGCAGCTGCAGTTGTGAAGGGACTTCTCCAGATTACCGATGGAGATGAAAATAATGAAAATGTTGCAAGACTTGTTCTTGTATTAGAGCAGCTCATGGGAACAGGTGGTGGTTGGCAGGATCAGATTGGGGGTCTCTATCCTGGTATTAAATTTACTGCAAGTTTTCCTGGAATCCCATTGCGACTACAAGTCGTCCCACTTTTGGCTTCTCCTGAGTTAATTTCAGAGTTGCAGCAACGCTTGCTTGTGGTTTTTACTGGTCAAGTATGTGGCCCCTTTCCATTTCCACTGTAAATATGCATGATAAGGCTTTTCTCGCATAAAATAAGTAAATAAATGAAACACAGCATTACATAATTGCATATTCAGTGGTGAAAAGCATCAAGGTGAAAATTAAGAATCTTGTTTGACACACACACTTTTGACTATTGTGCCTTAATATGTTGCTTTATTCTGTATGTCCACGTTTACAAAGAAAACATCTCTTTATCTGCATGTATTTGAAACTTGTAATGTAATATGACTTTTGTGCAGGTTCGACTTGCACACCAAGTCTTGCAAAAGGTGGTAATCCGATACCTTCGAAGGGACAACCTTCTTGTATCCAGCATCAAGCGGCTCGCTGAGTTGGCTAAGATTGGGCGAGAAGCTTTGATGAATTGTGACATAGATGACCTTGGGGAGATAATGTTAGAGGCTTGGAGGCTGCATCAAGAACTCGATCCTTACTGCAGTAACGAATTTGTCGATGGACTTTTCGGATTTGCACACCCCTATTGTTGTGGCTACAAGCTTGTTGGAGCTGGGGGGTGGAGGCTTTGCCTTGTTGCTTGCCAAGGATGCTAGGCACGCAAAGGAACTAAGACATTTGCTGGAAGAAGATTCAAGTTTTGACGTCAAAGTATACAACTGGAACATCTTCTTAGATAATTAGGAGGTGTATTATTATTATTCTTTAGATTGCTTCTTAGCTTTTGTACATTCTTTAATATATATATATATATATATATATATATTGATATTGATATTGATATGCTCACTCTATTTGTTGTAGTTTCATTTATTTAAGTCCGTAGAATAATTTCTGGAGAGAAGTATCGTGTGTGTAGTATTTGCAAATTATTCAAATTTGTATTTGCACTGAAATAATAAATAGAAGAAATGTATGAATTTCAAGTCATTAATCGTTTCGAATTCATAATATCACATTGCATTTAATAATTTTATATACATTGTATCTAGTAAATATCTTTATAATTTTTTCATTCAATGCAAGCTTATTATCAAAATCCAAATTCATTTTTTCTCACATACACAATCAAGATGCCATGAGGATTCGAACATGACTGCAAGTCAAGGGTCTATTTCTACCTTCTCGGAACCTTTTGCATAAAAAAAGAAAAAAGGAAAAAACCGATAAAGAAAAAGGTAGAGCCATCAACCAAGTGGCAAAGGCAAACAATCATAAACGTGAACGTGCATAACGTGGAAGTGGAACCGAGGCAAAGAATCCAAAGCGTTTCAGAATTCCTTGCCTTCTGAACAGAAAAAAACGAATCTTTTCCCACAAATTGTGATGTTGCTAATGGAACAAAACAAACATCACCATATTAAAAGAGTTTGATTAGTGATAATAGGCTACAAAAGAAAAAGAAAAAGAAAAAGAAAAAGAAAAAGAAAAAGGAGAGGAAAATGACCTCCATATAATTATCATGCGGAGCCACCATCCGGTCCTTTTTCTCGACTGCAATGCCTACCTGTCCATCCAAGACTTAAAGACGCAAGTCAAAAGGCAGAGAAAAACCAAAAAAACACACAGAGAAAAGAGAAGGGTCATCTCATCATCATCACAATCCATGACCCATCATCAAATTTGGTCATGATTGATGACCCATGAAATGAAAATCCAAGAATGATGCAGATACATTTTTTTTGGTGAAGGTCGTTTAACTGCTTCTTTGGTGAGCCAATTGTTTTCGACCGATGCCATATTTATTTAATTAATTTTTTTTTTGTTGGTGTTGTAGAGTCCCAAATGTTCTAACTTTTTAGCAGTTATTCTATTTTGTGGGTCACTCGGTCTATTTAAATTTTTTGTACAGTCATTTTGATACATGCAAGCGGTTGCTTATGGTGTATAGAGTGGTATAGCGGAGAAGAGGCACAGAGAGCCAGTCAACAGAGATAAGGGGAGAGATGGGTCTGCTCACGAATAGGGTTGAGAGAAACGAGATCAAGCTTGGAGACCACATCTACACCTACAGAGCTGTCTTCACCTACTCTCACCATGGTCTCTCTCTCCCTCCCTCTCTCTCTCTTACTCATTTTGTTGTTTTATTTTCTGGCTATTTAATTGTGTATATGTTTTCCAAGAATTACACAATGTGGGTTTATGGCGTGATGCGATTTCTGGGGTTTTCCATTTTTTTGGGTTTCAATTGTCTTGAACTTGAATAGCATTGACTTGTGTTTCATTTTTGTTTTTTTTTTTTCTTTCCGAATTTATGTCTTTCTGTAGCTGAACTGTGTATTATCTTGATTCCTTGATTAAGGCCTCTAACTAGTCCAAGGAATTGATGCTTATTAGATAACTTTGTTATGTTATTCTTTCAAATCATGTTGTGTGATATGACTGAATCTTGTATAATGTTTTTGTAATTCTCCATTTAATTGCTGGTGAATGCAAGGCTCTTCGATTTCTACTGGTTGATGTAGTTGTGCCATGATGAAAGCTGATTGCTTGCCTTCAAAATTGATAACTTTTTTGTTATTTTGCCTTATTGTTAGGTTAACTGATAACCTTAAGACTAATACAATAATTCTTATGCTGCTATTTCTCAAGGCATGACTCTATAGCCACCATGAAGCTTGAAATTTTCCATTTTTTTTTTTTACTCTGACCTCATCAAATTTGTTGCAGAAAGGATTCTAAGCAGTAACTGCTATTTGAAAGGGTATTTATTTGATGCTTTGTATGGCTCAACAAAAGAAAAACAGAATTAGATACTAGTCTTGTTGAGGGATTATAATTTGTTTCTCCTTCCTTTCTTCTGTTGTCCAATATTCAATTGTCATTCGGGCTCAAAACAGAAACCTCAGTCGATACTGTCACATACGTTCCCAGATCACTAGGTAGCGAAGTAGATCTCATATAAATTCTTCTGAATGTATTAAGATGACTTCTTACAAGGTACAACATACTATGAATTTGCAAAGTTTACTTGGACATAAAATGTGCAGCATATGTCTGAGTTTGTGCAGCATAAGTCACTCTCCGGAGGTTTGATCTATGTAAAATTGTAAATGAAAGTAGTAAAACACGATGACTATTTCAATTATTTGTGCCATCTACCATGGCACAATTTATAATATCATTTCCAGCTCATTTTTTTCTCTTTGCAAGCATTCATTTCGCATTGTCCTTTACAAAACTAAATCATCCAATGTTTAGGCATTTGAACTTGTTGCTGTCTTGTATTATTCTTATGCTTGGATAAAGTTTAATCATGAGATGTATGGAATATCATACCATGCAGGTATATATCTTGGGGGAAGCAAGGTTGTCCATTTTAGGCCTGAGAGAAATTTGAACTTAAGCACTGAAGCATCATCTGACGTTTATGATTCAATGTCCTGTCCCACCTTTCCTGACTGTGGATTCAGGCAACCCAATAGTGGCGTTGTCCTCTCATGCCTCGACTGCTTTCTAAAAAATGGATCCCTTTACTGCTTCGAATATGGTGTTAGCCCTTCAGTTTTCCTCGCAAAGTACGGGGTGGTACATGCACCACTGCAGCATCTGACTCCCCAGAAACGGTTGTCCACCGTGCAATGTATCTTCTTCAAAATGGATTTGGCAACTATGACGTGTTTCAGAACAACTGTGAAGACTTTGCTATGTATTGCAAAACTGGTCTCTTGATAGTAGACAAGCAGGGCGTTGGTAGAAGTGGTCAAGCTTCTTCAATCATCGGTGCCCCATTGGCAGCCATTCTTTCTTCTCCTCTGAAGTTGTTGATGCCAAGCCCAGTTGGAGTGGCTACCATGACAGCTGGTATGTACTGTATGAGCAGGTATGCAACCGACATTGGTGTTCGAACCGATGTGATCAAGGTGGCGGTGGAGGATTTGGCTGTGAACTTGGGTTGGGCAGACGACAATGAGGAGGAGGTGACTCAGGTTGAGGAGTCTTCTATGACACAGATTACCAGATGATGTGAACATGGCCCTTGTGCAGGTGAAGTGCCGTGAATTTGCGTATAAATTGGTAGTCAGTGTTGAATAAAGCATTTGTCGACAATAATGGCCGAAGTTCTGATGTGGGTTTACAAACTCATTTGTAATTGTCACATAATAGCTTTCTAGTTATGCATGAAATGAATGAAAACAGTGATTATATGGTTGTCCTAATTGTTTTATCGTTGTTGTGTTGTATATGATATTTATTTATTTTTTCAATTCAGCAGATTCCAAGATTTTTATTTCAGGTCCGGGAGGATATTTGTTGCCATGCTTGCCACAAAAATTACATATGGAGTAGAACCATAAACCAGAGTAGGGTGCATTGCATAGAGTCATGCAATTTCCATAACGAACTCAACACGATATTTTTCTTTCTTAACCCCAAATTTAAAAAGAAATTAGATAAGAAATTTTGAAGCAACTGAAAACTTTTTAATTAGGTCTGGGGTGCTTCTTTTTTTTTTTTTTTTTTTTTTTTATTTATTTAAAAAAGGCTTTTTCATGAAACATCCCTGATGTTTGCGAAACTACTGAATTGCATCCTTAAAATTTTTTTGTATCACTTGTGGTCCTTCCATTTCTTGTTGGAATTGGCGGGCAACTAAAGCTGCAGTTCCATTTTCACATGCTAAAATAATTTCTTACTCTGGACGAAGAACAAGCGCTGAAAATGGAACATGACCAAATTGAACGATAAACAACACACGTTGAACAAATTGAATAAACTAAACTACCAACCATTGTGAACAAATTGAACCAACTGCATACATCAAAAACCACTTCCATACATAAAAAAATCACTTTCAATTACATCATCAACCACATTCAGTTTCATCACATTAACCCCGACATGACTTCTATCAAAAATCACTTCCATACATACAAAAATCCTAGACCACTTCCATCAAAAACCACTTTCAGTTCCATCTCTTTAACCCCTAGAAACCTTCCATAAAAAAACAATATCATACATCAAAAACCTTAGACCACTTCCAATTACAGTTACATAAAACATCATCTCAAACTCTACATGGCCTTCCTTTCTTTGCTGGAGACTTTAATTTCCTTCTTTGGACAGTTTGTGATGTTGAGGCTTGCTGGGATGAAGAATTGTGTGCAGTAGGAGGTTGTGATGCCACTTGAGGTGCTGGAGAGGGTTGTGAAAACCTGACAATTGCTAGAGAAGGTGGGGAGGTAAAAAGGAGTTGATCTGACAATTATATCCCTCATAAAATTTGGGATTTAACGATTTTTTTGACAGAGGGACTATTTAAGAGCACCCATATTAACGTTAGGGACCACAAGTGATACAAAAAAATTTAAATGATGCAATCTGATAATTTCACAAACGTCAGGGACGTTTTGTGATAAAAAGCCTTATGTTCACATAGGCTTATTTACTGTACATACAAGTTTTACAGCGACAGAAAACTCTGCAAATATAATCATGTATGAAATCAAATAGACACATGCTAATGTGGGGTATCCGGGGAGGGCTTGTATTGCTTGGAATTTTCTTGCGGCGCAGGTTTCATATCTACCTGGCCTGCTAGCTCATTAACTGCATCAACAATTCCATTGATTCTTGCTGCATTTTCAATCAGCAAAGATGCTAATGTGGTCACTGGAAGAACCTCCACCACTGGTGTTATGAAGGATTCTCCTCTGCCATCATCAGTGTCTTCTGGTGTCGGTGCAATGAGGCCGATGGGTACAGATTTCAAGGAATTTTGAAGTTCCTGCACTGCATTGTTCATCTCCCAAACCAAAGAGCCCATGTCAGATGATTTTGTCATTGTTTTAATTGTTTTTTGCCAATTCTCTCAAGATACCTGAAGATATTGTTTGTTGTCTTGCAGGCATTGCTGAGATGCTTCTTTAGCTGTCCAATTCCAGCTGGTGTCTGGCCATAATAATATGTAACTTACAAGTTAGAAGCTAATGATATAAAACAATCTCAGTAGAGATTATTTGTTTTGAGGTAAAAGACCAGTCTGGGTTTCTGACTCCATGCAACTGCTGAGAGCCTCAATGCAATAAGCACAACTACGCATCGATGCCCCGATCTTGAGGTACTGTTTCCATGGATGTTTAAAGCTGAAGCTGCCATGTGCAGGCTCCCATCTTGCAAGTTTAGCCTGCAAAATTGTTCCCCCCAGCGAAAAAAAAAAAAAAAAGCAATGTCTATGTAGGCAACAAATCAATCTTTAGTAACTGAGTGAGCCACTTCACTCAGTCACTTACCCATTGTCTTCTGTTGCCTTTGAATCAAGCACACATTTATACCCTTTGATTTCCTTTGTAGGACAATTGTCTTCAGTCACAGCTTCATTATCTTTGAAGTACTCCAAGACATGTCCTGTATTTTTGAAGCTAACAAATCAAGTATTGTCATTACTAATAATTATCCTTTCTGCAGGTGGTAAGGGAAAATGAAATTTGGTATTGTAATTAGAGATACCATCCAAGGAATCAGCCAGTTTCTCCAGGTTACGATAGATCAATCTGTGAAGCTCATCACCAGCCCAAGTGGGGTAGAAAAGCATGCTAATTAGAATGCAAAAGGGGTCCCAATGCCATGGGTGGACAATCTGTCGTAAGCCAACTCAGATAATTCACCAACACGATAACCGAAACTGAAACTAAGCTGAAGGTGAGGATGAAGATCAGAGCACCGTAATCAAATCGGGATTTTCAATTCCTTAAGCACAATGCTCTTAGACAATATGGCCAAAACTTGATAGACATTTGCTAATTAGCGTCATCTCCATTGTGTGTTAACTTAATGTTTGAATTAACAATATTTTGGTGCTGTTATCTTGTTAGACAAGTGGATAATATGTAATTAGTACACAGATCACACATGTATAATTAACCCAAAATTCCATGAAAAACATGACCTAATTTATTCACACTCGTTTGTTTATACCAAGAGAAATTATGAACTCCTCTGTATACCCTCTGCATAACTCCTTCAACGTGTGTACTTGATTGCTTAAGTATTCCTATTGTTATGCAAATCATACTTTATTCTCATGTGGGATGGGACTAATAAAGGAGAATTATACATTGTGAAATGGGATGAAATCAAGGGACTATAAAGCGAACTATAATGGTTGTTGGTCATGAGTTCCAAATTAAACTTTGGGACATGGACGATGACAATGTGAACCTGGTTTTTTTTCTTGCGCATCTTTCCCTGCAGATAGCATTAATTCTGTGATGGAAAAGCATAGTTCTATAGTTCCATGTCATCCAACACTTATTGAGCTAGTGACATCAGGTATGTCAAGCCCTCACAAAAAGGACATTCGAAAGAAGAGGTGGTCATGGTGTTCTAGGGCTGATTTTCATATATGATCACCATAAGATCAGACTAGGGCACAACCACAGTAAGTTTGGAAGGCCTAGGTTTCTGCCATCACCATAAGATTATGATCTCCATCACTTCTTGAACGCTTCTTTTATTTTATTTATAAAATTTTATTTTTTAATAATTATTTTAGTTACTGTTGATTAATGAAAATTCTTTAATTTAACGGAGTTATATGTAGGTGGTGGATTGCAACACTTTATAAAGTTTGGTGGATAAAATAAAAAAATAAATTCAGGTGATAATACGCACATGCCTAAAAGTTTAGATGGTATTTATGCAAATTTCCCTAATAATAATTTTTTTTTTTTTTTTTTTTTTTTTTTTTTAAATGAAGAGATGTGGCTTGCTGCTAGAAATGAAATAGACCTACGGGCCAGTTTGACATTGTTGTGCTATAAAAATAATCACTGTTAGATTTGCTGTGAGAGAAAGTAGTTTTGGCGTTTGGTAAACTTTTTGTTAAAAGTGTGTTGGTACTGATTCCCGCATAATCAGAAAATGTTTGCTGTATAATTATTAAACCCAGCGCTTCTTTGAAACTGATTTCAACATAATCAGAAATGAAAGCATTTCATTAGCTGTTTTCCCTTATAGCTTTCTCTCACAACAATTTTTAATAATAAGTGATTTTCTCATAGTTTACCAAATGGGCTGGGCTTCCCAATTTTTTTAAAAAATCACTTATCACCCGAAATAAGCAATGCCAAACGGACACGTAGTATTTTTGCCCAGCTAAAAAACCAGAAGAAAAGTTAGACCACATAGACAAAAAAGTTGAGCCAACCACCGCCGATCCATGCCCATTAATATCTACTTTGAGTCAAATAATTAGTTAAGTACTTTAAATTTGGGACCATCTATAATTTATTTGGACAACACTTTCATGATTTTGATTGTGACATAGACTTCACACCCAAGTTATTAATTTTGCAGTCAATTTATTGGTTCTTCCTTTTTTAGGGTTCCGGGAGGAAGGGCTTCTTCTTCCTTCCAATTTTCTTCCATTAATGGCTGGCTCCCCACTTCCAACAACTGAGCTGATTATTATGAAATTATGGGGTCGGTTTAGTGTATTGAGCATGCAATGTGTATGATATAGGATGCGTGTGAGGATCATAACACATACATATTTCCCTCAAGATCGTTGTATTTTTGCATTACATTCTGGTGTCGTGCATAAATTAAATTGATAAATAAACTTGTATTATATTATTTTATCTTCAACCATATAGAATTTTGTCATCTCTTGAATTACGAAAGAAATTTTGGAAATTTCCTACAAGGGAATCAAATGCAGAATTGCAGATTAAATTGGAGAGCAATTAGCATACCCCTAAACTTGCTAATTCTTACCCAAATGAAATTGAAAACTAGCACAGAAAATTACCATCGCCACATCGAGTAATTCTTCAGTGAGATGATCATACTGTTTCATGGTGTTATAATTCACTCATATTATAATATATATGGATTAATAACATCATTTTACAGTGTCACCGTCACACTCAATAATTTTCCGACTTTGGCTATGACATTGATATTAGCAATTAAAGAATCATATCCATCAAAACTTCCATTGATCTTGAACCTACTGAAAATAGATGGTCTAATTTAGTTAAGAAATTTACATGTATTGATTTGGCTGCATAAAATAAAATAATTATAAAAGTCAACTTAGGTTGTAAAAGGATTTACAGGAGGGTCCCGATACCACTAGATTGTTTTACTTATTTATCACATACAAACAAATCAAGTAGCTGCCTTATACAGTAGGGAATGCACCAACCAATAACAACTAAACGACGTCGCTTTTTCCTGTCGATATCAATATTCACCTCCATTTTGTTTGTAATAATAAGCCTCCATCGTTAACCCCAGGGAGAAATAATAGACTATATAAAGAAAAACAGAGTGTTCTGCCTTTGGGTTTTGGATTTCGAAACCATTAAAGACCCAAAACGACTAAATTACAATCCAATACACAGATTCAAGCTTATCCCAATCAAAACCACAAAGACTTCAAATTTTCGAAACCAGAAGAGTCGCTGAATCAAAACCCAGAAACGGGAATTTTTGGATGGCGAGTCTGTATGTGAAAGCTGTGCCACCTGCGGATCTGAATAGGAACACAGAGTGGTTCATGTACCCTGGTGTTTGGACCACCTATATTTCTCATCCTCTTCTTCTCTTGGCTCCTTGTGCTCTCAATCTTTGGCTGCTCTCATGGCATGGCTTGGACCATAGTTAATCTCTCTCATTTTTGGTATGTTTCTGTCTATATCATATATATATATATATCTCTCTCTCTCCTCTCTCTCTCTCTATATGTAATTGATTTTTGTAGGTGTGGTTTTTTCAGGTTTGGCTTACTGGCTTTGATTGATTGTTGTGTTTAATTGGGTTTGCAAAATTTTATATATTTGTTTATTAGAGGCTGTTTGATTTGAGCTTTGCATAATCCAGTAATAACGTGTAGTTAAATTTTCAATAAAACCCATTTAATTATTTAGCTCAATGATACTTTGTGTTTCCATATATGTAATTAGGTGCGGCTTTGATAATTCTAGATGGGTTATGCATTTGGATGTTGAATGGGGGCGTTTCAATGTTTTAGCTATTTGTTTCATGTGAGGTTTTGTAACCTAGTTCGTAAAATTCTTGATATAAGGTAGAATTTGCTTAATTTTCTATCCTGTAAGCATGAGTTGGATGTTGGATTGTTGCATCTGAGCTGAACAATTTGGGTTTAAGGAAAGTAGAGATTTACATTTGAATATTGCGTTTTGTTCTCAATTGGAGTTAAAAATGCAAATTTTACCTTATCTGAGCTAAGCAGTGTTATGAGCCTCAGTTAGGAGTTTAGTTTTAGAAGACGAGCATGAAAGAATTCCAATCTTTGCCTAGTTATCTGCTCCGTCATATTTCCTTGTCCAAAATTTTGTTTACTGGTTGTGGCGTTGACATTCTTGCTCTTATGGGATACTGTTCTTGTTCCCTTTTCAGACAGTACTCATTACATCCTCTTTTCTGGGACTTGGGAGTTCAGGAATGAGGCAAGTTTTAGATGTCCTCATAGGAATCCTCTAATTTTGTGGTATTATGTTATCACTGTTCTTCTAATATAAATGGGGATTGGATTGGATGAGACATCCTTGTTCCATATCCAATTACTGCACAAGACTGCACTTTTATTTAGAATTGTATACTTTGTTATAAACTACTTTGAGGTCTCTTTTTCTTTCCCTAGTTTTTCATATTATTATTCTGTGTATAGTCTTTGAACAGTCTTTCCCTAATTGTCCTTTATTCTTTGATCTGAGGCTTTGGACTAAGTAGCCTTTGCTTATATAATGTTTGAATCTTAAGTATTGTATTCAGTCTTCTGCTTTGTAAGTTTTAACTTTTAACTCTAGGTTAGTTCCATTCACAATTCCATCTACCATATTTGAGGAGTCTGATTCTTCTTTAGGTCACTTATCCTTCTTTCCACTGGAAGAAAGGAACTCCCTTCGCTGAAGATCAGGGGATCTACAATGGACTTACTTGGTGGGAGCAGATGGATAGTGGAAAGCAGCTCACCCGCAACAGGAAGTTCTTAACCGTTGTTCCTGTGGTGCTGTAAGTTAATTTATGTGCTATAAAAAAAAAGCATTTCTTAGTTTTGTCACTAAATTTAAATATAATGAACCTTTTGGCTTTTCATGATTTATTTATCTTAACCTGCCACCTCTGATATCTGTGTGTGTGTGTGTCCACAAGCCCTTTGTCAAACTTTTACAAGCATGTATTTATTGCATACACGCATATTTGTTCAACATTCCAAAACATTCTACACCAAAAAGGTTTGGAGGCTTGTTCAGCTTACTCAAAAAGGTCCATTTAAAACTAAGTCTGTATTTGGGTTGGAACTCTGTATCAGATTCATTTAGGTGCCAGTGGCAACAACGAGGAAGCCTGGTTTCCTACTCAATTTTTAAAAATATGATAAATTTATGATAGATTATTAGTATATTTAGAAATTTAAATTTTCTGATTCTGGTTATGCTTTGGTTGAGTTCTTTAGTTTACAACAATCTACGACCAGTTCAGGCAATATTTTTCTCTCTCTAAATATCACAGTTTGTTTTTTTGTGGTTGCCATAGTGGACACCTCATATCAGTGTTCCATGTTAATGCCTGCAATGCACACCCAGATTTTATTAGAATGTCTTATATTTATTTGTTTAGATAAGAGTATGATACCTCAATTTTAGATGCGTGCATGCCCATGGAGCAGTTTATTTACTCAGAATCCTTAGTATGAGTTCCGTTGTATCCTCTTGTCTTGATATCAACTTTCAACCTGTACTATGGTCCATGTGAATGCTTCAGAATGAGCTTAGTGCCTGTTTTCACATCAAATATTTTGTATTCATGCTGAACACATCATGAATTTGGTATGGCTTTGAGATGTGTTGGATTTTTCTACTACTAGCATGTCCTTGATTGGCTACCCAACTAAATTATGAGGATGGAGTTTGTTAGAACCCCACTTGGGGTGTGAACCAGGGAATGAGGCTTCTTTATTGGACATGGATGGATGGCATGGAATGAGCAGTCATCCCACAGTTGAGAAAACAATGCCAGATTAGATCTACGTAGTTTATTGTATGAGGGGGTCAATTGTTCTTGTTCTATGTTTTTGTTGAATAAATTGGTACATAAGACATTGGTAATATCTCAAAACTTCTGAAGCAGTACTGTCTTTGTTGACAGTGCTGCTTATGATATGATTTGTATGAACTTGCTTTGCAAACTCGGGCCATGCTAGGTGAAGTGCATGTATGGTTTTGTCAGCTGAGCAATACCAGTCCTGAAAATGATAATTCTGCGACGATCTTGTTTTGAAAGTTCTGTTGAACCAAAAACCATGTTGTTCTGATTTCCTTTTCCATCTTTCCTGTCAGGTACTTGATAGCCTCACACACAACTGACTACCAGCACCCGATGCTATTTTCAATAGTCTTGCAGTCATTGTGCTAGTTATTGCCAAATTCCCCAATATGCACAAAGTCCGGATCTTCGGAATCAATGGAGATAAGTGAGTTGGGCTTAAGGTTGGCATGTTCAGAAATCACGTATCATTCTCTTGTTCGGATGAAGAGCTATATCCTTGTATAGAAGTTGGAACTGGAGGGATATTAAAAAATATAATGTGTTTTTGTTCTTACGGCTTTTCAAGCTGCCTCCCATAAAGAATAATTGTATTGAGTTATCTTTGTACAGTAGAGAAATTTTATGTATCTTGAGAATCACGGTGCTATATGAGCATATGCCCATATTTTGATGTCTCTTTTTCCAAATTCCCATCGGTTTGATTATCTTTTCCACCCTGGAAACAGAGTTTATGCCTGAAACAGAACAATATCGTGTAGATACAGATTCGACGGCATGACCGCAATAATGCACCGTATATTTTTTTTTTTTTTTTTTTTTTTTTTTTTTTTTTTTTTTTTTTTTTTTTTTTTTTTTTTTTTTTTTTTTTTTTTTTTTTTTTTTTTTTTTTTTTTTTTTTTTTTTTTTTTTTTTTTTTTTTTTTTTTTTTTTTTTTTTTTTTTTTTTTTTTTTTTTTTTTTTTTTTTTTTTTTTTTTTTTTTTTTTTTTTTTTTTTTTTTTTTTTTTTTTTTTTTTTTTTTTTTTTTTTTTTTTTTTTTTTTTTTTTTTTTTTTTTTTTTTTTTTTTTTTTTTTTTTTTTTTTTTTTTTTTTTTTTTTTTTTTTTTTTTTTTTTTTTTTTTTTTTTTTTTTTTTTTTTTTTTTTTTTTTTTTTTTTTTTTTTTTTTTTTTTTTTTTTTTTTTTTTTTTTTTTTTAGATTGTCTTTTAGATTGTGTGTGCTTGAAATTGCTTTATGCTTTGGCTTACTTTATGAGTGATGATGAAAGGGAAAATAAAGAAACGTCTTTAGTTTTGACTATACCTCTTAAAATGGCACTACTTAATGCTGTTTTGTGTTATTCTATGTGGGAGTTTTGTCTGGTTTTGCTAAGAAAATTCATTTTTATTGTTTTTCTATTCTTCTTTTGTGAATCATGAGTGTGTGTAGTGTGGTGGGTTTCTCTTTATTGACCTCATAATGCAAAAGTCTTGATTCTTGTTCTTCATAGATGTTTTCTAAGGACCATACATAGATAGGGATTAGGGATTCTTTTGGTTCATCGAATATGTGAAGATTTTCTCAGTCGGGCAATATGTGGTACCCTCTAACACTAAAATTAGAAGCCTTAACTAGTAACTTAAATCATTACTTTTTCGGTTTTTTCAATAAGAAACAAAACTAATTTACATCACTAAGTTGAGACTTCTCAAATTTCAAATAAGATTTGAAATCTACAATAGTACGTACTAACTAGAGACACCATATAGATTATCCTTGTGGTATATGGGTCATATATTAGTGTTATTCATGTTGTAAATTCTGAATACTACCCTTGTGGTTACGTTCCTTATTACTCTCAATCCAAATCCAACTTTCCATCTAAATTCTCTTTGATTCGGACCAATGTGTGCATCATTTTGCAAAGGTCAACGGTCCTTTCAAGCCTGATTTAAGGTGAAACAAGCTCCAATACTCTTTAAATGACATGTTCACTCTTGAGCATGATGATTGCACATGGGCAAAATAGATGGAATTTGAATGAAAAGTTTAATTTGGACTGAGATTGATAACGGGAGAAACTACAATATTATTATTTTTTTTTTTTTTTTTTTTTTTTTCTCCCACAAACATTGATACATGACCCACACCACAATTGATTTGTGTAAAAATAAATAAAAATGACCACATTAATTAGAAACTAAATGTTGTAATAAAGTGTGTCTAATATTCTCATCTCACAGTAATGTTGGTCTTTGTGTGGTGTGGATCACTCATCACTACACATACTTAAGTAATACAAGTTGCTATGGTTCTTTACAACTTTGGAAACTAATTAAAAATGGAAAAATGAAAATTTGAAAGAGTAAGGAGGAAGGCAACGAGAGATAAGAAGAGGAGGAGGGAAATTAGGAGAGCCGACAATAGGCGACAAAAGGGCAATGGCGGGACCCAAATAATGCGCGGTAGAAAAGAAAGAGATAGAGAGGAGAGAGAAAGGAAAAGAAAGATAATAGAGAAGTCTTGGTGTTGGTGTTGGGCTGTCTTTTATGTGATAGGGACAGTGACATGCTTGGTGATTTGAATTTGTTCGAAACAGCCAACCCGAAGGACTCAAATTCCCACTGCCTCTCTTTCTTCAGAATCTCACATTTCAGATTGTGTGGGTGCTCTCTCTCTCTCTCTCTCCTCTCTCTCTCTCTCTCTCTCTCTCTCTCCAATCCAACCCAACTCTACCCAACCCAAGTTTAGAGTTATTTAAATATTGCCCTCATTAGGTTTAGCCGTTTGGTGTTTTTTTATTAATTATGAACAAAGTAATGATTAAGGAGGCTCTGTATAAACTTGTGCATATAACTTTTTACCTCCTATATATTGTAACATAATCTTTCGTGTATATGTATAACCATGTTGAAAAAGCGGAGCTATGTACAGGTCTGAAGTAGATGCATGTAGAGTATGATCATTAGCGGCAAAGCTAAAAACTCTACCTCCGCATTGAATGTCGATCGATGTAAGGTTTTTGAGCTGAAGATTAGGGTTCTTGACTCTATATAAGGGGTAAATATTTAGTGTAAATTTACACGAGAAAGATGACTATACTGCGCATACTAAACGATACTATCAATACAAAGCGATCCTCTGTTTATATATACTAATTGTGTGTTGAGTGAGATGTCTTACATATTTGGATGGATTGTTTTGGTTACACAAAACAAAATTAGCTTCGTTTTTTGTTATTTTGTTGTTTCTCTATAAACAAAACAAAGTTAGCGTCAAACATCATTATTGAATCGGAACCCACCTTTCTTACTTTTTAGTTTTAAAACGAGATGCAATTATGAGCAAGAATAGTGTTATGGCAATCCAACATTAATACATTTTATGCCTTTTGTAAAGTTTTTAGGGGCATTTGATTACCATTTTTATTTTAGTTTTTATTTTTTTATTAGAGTATAGAGGAGAACGAGAGTAAGAATGGGAGTGAGGATGAGATTGAGAGAGAATATGAGAGGAATGAGTAACAAAAGTGGTAACAAAAACTTGAAATAGATTTCAGTTTTTAGTTTTTGTTTTCACTTTTGTTACTCATTCCTCCAATCCTCTCCTCTCAATCTCATCTCCACTTTCATTCTCACTTCCATTCTCCCTATTTTTCCTTCTATACTATAGCACAAAAAAAAAAATTTAAAAAATTGAAATGATTATCAAATAGGTCCTTAATTTTAAAGTAGAAAATGGGGTATGTCCCATTGATGGGATCTATAGTCAATAACATCGGGATCAATTTCAATATATACATAAAATATAAACCAACATTTTGTTTTTCTACATTAAAAAGGAGGTTTTTTTTTGTTTGTCAGAAAAGGGAATTTTCTTTTAGTAAGAAAAAAAAACAAGAGAAAAAAGAAGAGTTGCACATAAAATATTCCAAGAAAATCTAAAAGAAGTTGATACGACTACTCATTTCTCATATTTTATTCTTTTATCTATTTCAAATATCTCGATTACATAGCATTAAAAATAACTGATATATTCTCTTATGATCGTATGCGTATCCATATGCATCATTGGATTCCTAAGTTTTCGCTCTTTTAACTTTAAAAACTTGTCCAACGGTGCATATGCATGTACGCATACATTAATACTCATATTGGTTTCATGATTGAGGAAGCTTATTTAGGTCTCCGTTATAATGTCATTGGATTTGATTTGTGGTCAATTTCTACCTTGTTGATGTAACCAAGTAGCTAGCTAGGTTGCTTGATGCCATCATTTATACTTGCCATCATGCAAAAGGTAAAAGGAAAAACGACAAAGTTCATCCTTTGCCCTATTTGATAAAGAAAGGGGGGGAAAAGAAAAAGAACAGAAGCACATCGATCCATGCGTTTGAATGTGATTATTATGAGTCAGTGTTTCATGCATGGATGGATATATCTTCAACTACATTCCAAACAAGAGAGGGAGAGAGAGTTGCATGATTTGGTTTGGTGTGGCCAAAGACAAATTTAGGTCATTGGATTAATTAAATTAAAGTTGGTGGATTAATTTCAACGTGAAAAGCATGGAATGGAACTGGTGGGGCATGCAATATAAGCCCTGTCTCACCGTCCATTTATCCACCAAGTGAAAAATAACAAATTGACCAAAACATTTGTAGCAAATAAGTCATTTTATGGTGGTAGAATCTATAATGAGGGTATATCTAGGTCCTTAGATGAGGCGCCTTATCTCTTAAACGTTAATCAAATTAATTTGATTCAATTATGAAGAGAGAGAAATCAAGGACGGAACCATGAATTTTTCGACAGGTGGACTAGCTAAATTTTTTAGCTTAAACTTTGATGATCTTTTATATATAACAAAAACTTACAATTTCTATAGTTTTTCTATAAATATAATATACATTACATCATACAAACCAAAAAAAATAAATACATTTAACATAAAACAAATACATATTAAATACAACCACAAAATACATATATCAAAGTAAATATATATTCAACAACATAATTAAAAGCTCCTAAGAAACAATATAATTGAAAATGTACATATTCAAGTTGTGTCCTACGATTCTTGAGATAATTAAAATCATTTGTTATCGTATCTAAATCGATATTGTAAGCAACTTCTTTTTCAATATATACAATCATAGAATAATATTTTCCTAATGTGTTGTAGTTTATGGTAGACCATATAAGTTTTTTTGTTTTGTTTTTTATTTTATTTTTAAAGCGGCATTAAACAACAGCCAGACTTCATAGCTGGCTATGTGAATTTTGTGATGTAAATTCTGTAGTATTGGAGGCCCGGGGATCAAACTCTTTGTTGCACCATTGAGAATTGTCGTTATGTTTTAATGCCATTTGTTTAATCTCTATCCCCTTATCATTTTAGCCATTAGCTTCACGTCTCCCAAAAAAAATTGAAATCTAGCCATGGAAGACCGAATTAATCTTGGCCATTGGAGAGTAAAAGAGCATGCGAACACAACCATCATGTGGGTCCCATCACAAAGTTCCCTTATTTGCTGGAGGGCTATATATGTAGGTTTTTAACTTCTTCAAAAAGCTACTGGTCTACAGCCCAGTGTAGTCTTGTGAGTGGTTTCGATCGCGATAGGACCTCATTTAAAGGCCATAAATAAGACGATCGTGAACCACTTTCTCTCATCCCATAACATTGATTTTTTTTTTCTTTTCCCAAGCCCACCCCGTTGCTTTGCTCTAGTTGTAACCTGACTTAATTTAAAGCCCAACTCAATGTTTCAAACATCAGCCTACAAAAGAAGAAAATACTCTCTTGGGCTGGTAGAAGCCATTAGCTGATTTGAAAAAACTAAGTTATAACAATACAAATACTCTCATCAAAGAGAGGTGGAAAACTCTCACAAAAAACAGGTGGAAAACTCTTACAAAAGAAAAGATGAAAACTATACAAAAAACCCAAAGAGTCTCTTTGTTATTTGTAACCAAAAACTCTCACAAAAGCCTGAGTTCAATGCTTGGTCTTCTCTTCTTCGTTATTTCTAACCAAAAACCAAAAAACCAAATAGCAAAAAAGAAGAAGCCCGGTCTGAAGGTTTGCTGTTGACTGGCTGGCAGGTATGGAGGTGGATCTGGATTTGTGCTGTCGGACCTTGAGCTACCTCTAGTACCCTACAAATTAATTATTGCTGAAGAGTAGGCTATTTTGCTGCTACGTCGTAGTTTGGGCCCCCATCCATGTTGCTTATTTTTAAGCCGACTGAAAGAAGAATTCGCTTTTTTTTTT